AGAATTTCTTATTTTCCCAAGTACCTTTTTTACTAAAAATCACAACGGTTTCAGCACTTACTGCTCGTTAGAATTGTCCCCATTATTACAGCTGGGCGTGGGAGTGTAATGGGGTTGATAGTGAGAGAGGTGACTGGCAGTCTATTAGCCCCCATGAGGCCACGTTTACAGGAGCTATTAGGAGAGGTATGGCAGGTATGACAGGTGTTGTAAACCTGGTCTGATCTGTGGGGCAGGTATCTGTGTTACTGGGACAGGTATCTGTCTTACTGGGACAGTTTAGCTATTGTTAAACGGGGATCTGTCCTTCATCCGGTTTTCTTACCGTATAATTCAGTTTCACTGGTAACTTGTCTCGATACTCCCCTCCCACCCACCCTCCTGCCCTCCCATCAGGGACACACTGAGGACTAAGGTTATGTTCCAATGAATGCGTTATATTATACACCTTTTGGGTTGGGCATCATAGACCAGAACTGATCTATACTGTTCCAAAGGATAAGCATGTATCAACTGATCATATTGTAAAAATGTTACGCCGGATATGTTGGTTTATTTTACAGATATAAAATATTAAATATTAACAATTTTATCGCTTCACGTGGCTGGTTTTACAGTGTATCAATGTTATTGGAGACTATTTAAACCTATCACCGCATATTATAGTGTACTTTACACATTTATTTATGCAAAAATACAATACAATTCGTGTGTCAATACATAGGAAACTATTATTTAAAGTATTTTAGAACTAGTGTAGGAAATGTAGGAAATGGTGGTGTATCTTGTATCTTGTAGAAAATGCGAGGATTCAGTTCCAACACTGATTTAGGAAATCACAGCTCTAGATTAGGAGGTTATCAAACATTTTACACATGAGTTATTAAGTACACACTATACACCTTACTTTACAGAAGGGTAGTTTCTGAGAAGATACTTGTATAAGATTAGAAAGTGTGGCTGATATTTCTACACACTGTAGTTACATTAGTTACATGATTACAGTAAGAATGTCTCTTTGCTGAAGTGTTGAGATAGATGTCTCAATACTATCTCTATATACTATACTAATATATTAGGATCTATATTTCACATGAAGTTTAGTTTTTCTCCTTGTGTAGTTTGTTTAGTAACTATAGTAACCAGATAGTAGAGGAGTGCTGGCTGATAAAGATCTGACAGCTCTAATAGATGAACTACACTGATGTCAGGTTAGTTGTTGTAGTGCTACAATCAGGTTCTGCACAGACTCGTTGCTTCTGAGAGGGTCCTAGAAGATTCTGGGATATTGTGGAGACATTAAATTGGAAATAGTTGCAAAAAGTTTAGCATTTGTTGTAAAATACAGTACACTTTAAGTATCCAGGTACTTACTTACTTACTTGTACATGAAAAGGTCTCCTCCTAGTCGTTGGAGTGGCCTGCACCACATAGTAACTCCTTTCTCCGGTGTATTAGACCTCTCAGTGAACCCTGTCTGTAGCTTGTTGTTCTGCATCTTCTATCGTGATGTTATCGACACCTGTGAAGATTGCTGCATCCTCCCGGACACATGACAACCAGTTTTTCCGAGGTCTACCTCTTGACCTTTTACCATGCTTTGGGATCCAGTGCAGAAGATAGTTGGGTATTCTTTCTTCTGGCATCCTCACCACATGGCCAAACCATCGGAGTCTAGCTGCTTGTACGAAAGTATCAACAGAGGCGATGTTAGCCCGCTTAAGTACATGTACATCAGCATTAGATACATGATAAAACCATTTGATTTTCAGGATTCTCCTCAGACATCTATGATGGAACACCTCAAACCTTTTCATCTGCGTCTGTGTGGTATTCCATACCTCACTTCCATAGAGCAGTATAGTGAGAACAGCCGCTTTGTAAATCTGATGTTAGTTGGAGTCTTGATGCTGCGACTGTACCATATACTGCTAAGCTGATAGAATGCCCCAGAGGCCTTTTGAATTCGAGCTGATAGTTCTTTGTCAATTGTTCCATTCGCACTGATGATTGCACCCAAGTAAGTGAAACTGCTGACCTGCTGTATTGGGAGACCTTCCACATTGATGTCCATAGTATCGTCTTTAGAATACGGCCTCTGCGATGCACTTTTGCTGACAACCATGCTCTGTGTTTTTCCAGGTAGTAAACAGAAAATCTTGTTATTAAACCACTTTATTTTCTAATTGTTTATCAGCGATTTAAATCGACTTAAAACCGAACTTATCTTAATATAATAATATCTAATAATAAGTGTCAGTAGTCAGTAGTGTTAGGCTCCGATAATAACTACATGATGTAAGCATAAATACCGGCCGAACACATGTGGAACAAATGAAGTTGATTTTCGTGTGAGATATAATAATATAGTGCCAAACAGCTTCCATCAGAACCTTAGCCATTGTACCAAAAGCGGCAAACTAATTACATGGACTCATCTCTAGCCGAGCGGATTAGACATATGACTATTTCTCAATGTGAACGTGAAATTAGCGGCCCTTTTTAAAGTTTCTGTTGAACCAGGGCGTTCACTACACAGACCAGAGGCTGATGAGGAGACAATATGGTTGTTTCGTTGTTTGATGTTTAGTTTTACTTTTGTAAAGTGGTTTATTTGTTCGTCGAGCAGACATAATGGTGTCAGCGGTTCACTGTTAGGGGGGGGGGGCCGGGGGAGGAGGGGGGGCTGATAGAATGTAACGCAAAGAGTTTTTATTACTTTTTAACCAGATACCCTGGCTTCATAATATTTTAATTCCAGATGGAAAGCTCGAGTAGGTAATCTGACTTTAGTAGTCGGGTTACAAAGCAATTATTTTAATCCTACCTGATATTATGATTCGTAGTCAAGCAGACTTAAAGTCTGAGACTTTCGACTAAATTGTTTTTACCATCAGTCTTTGTTTTCAGCCGATTTATTTCTATTCGATTTACAACACTTTGAAATACACCACTACAAGTAAGTACTCATGTCAGGTTCACGTCGCGATACATTGTGAGACATTTGGAGATGAAACATCAAATTGTGCGCATTAAAACATCATAATGCAGCTTGCACAACTTTATTATGTTACCCAAATCAAGTTACAAAAGCCTTTTCATCTCTGTAGAAAATTTCCGGCAGGTCAAAGGATGTATTCATATTTCATAAGCCCTCCTGACGTTGCATTCCCAGACCCATTGTCCGGCCGTCCGGGATATCTCGCCTCTGATTGGCCGGGCTTGATCACGTGTCTAGAATGCTGTGCTCTGATTGGCTGAAGTGTGGTTTGACGGGAAGCGTGTTCTACTCTCGTGCTGTTCTCTGTTCTCCTCAGTAGTGTGCTGTTAGAGAGAGAGAGAGAGAGAGTCTGATATCCTTGCTGCTTTGTTGACCTACACTTACTAGCCTCGTCACCTTTCTGTGTCCTAAAGTTGATTATACCAGATTCTACAGCTTGTTTTGATTATAGTTATAATACAGTTTAACTCAGGCTTGCTCTGCTTATTTAACAGCAGCAGATAATATCTCTTCAGACTGTATAGCACTTTATCACAGTGTGTAATGTAACAATGAACTTTGCTTTATTCAGTTCTTCAGGGCGCGGTGCTTCAGGCGTCAATTTCTGTGAAGGAAGCTTTGTACTGTTTCATTGTGGTTCATAGGTCTTTCTGTGTTGAAATTTTATCGGACAAGCAAACAAATAGTAGGTTACTTGCGTTATTCAGTTATTCGGGCTTGATTAATTTGCTAAGTAAGTGTTTTTACAAAGCCATCTTAGTAGACGCAGTCCTCTTCATTCCCGCGCTCCCTTATTCTTATTATTTTAATTCACTTCACTTCAAATATGAATTCTGGGCGATTTTTCTTGTCGAGATGACATATCATGCATTGAACTAACATCTCAACTTTCATATGTTATTGTTCAATACTTTAGAACCAAAAAGTATTGAATATGTTTTACGCAACAAATCACTAATCTTCAGAGCACTTTATTTCAGAACTGGTGAAATAGTGAGATAACGTTGAGCGACTTATAATCGAATTAAAGTGCCATTTTTGTTATTCGTATTGATCGCTGTAGTGTGATAGTAATGAGATTAAAATGCCCACATTAATTCTGACAATTTCTAAAGAATGCTCAAATCTCGAACATCTTCATAAAAGTACTTTAATTATTTCATTGTTCTTTTATTAGTTCCATTGTACGATTAAGATTGATGCCGTTTTATATCAGAATTGGCACTATCGTGCTTTTGCTTATTCCTCGTATCTTAGCCGCTCTCGTTTCTTTGAAAGACATAAGTAAAAGCACAGGACCAGCTTTACGAAATGCAAATGGGATAAATCGATGCACGATATGACATTATGTTACGATATGACATTATGTTACTGTTGTCCAGAAGCAAGCCCTGCCAAACCAACCTAAAATACTTTTTTTAAAATTTTATTACTCTCCAAAAACCGCACATTTCCATTTTTCCATTCCACGTAACCTGCCATCTTATCAGCTATATTTAAGGCTTTTTTATTTTGTTTCACTGACTTGTCCCAAAACATTTTATAATATCAATATTCAATAAGTAAAGTAAAGTAAGGTATCTTTTGTAGTAGACTGCAATTATGACACCGCTAGTAGCAAGGGCCACTATTTAAAAGTCTTTGTGCCGGTTGCTATTGTTCCTCTCGTGTACTATTGGGCGTTGTTTTTGTTTGATGGTAGACTTACTTAACGACTACATACATGAAGATATTGTACATATATGATGAGCTGTGCACTTTGTTGCTATGGTTACATTACTTTGTTATTTCGGGAGAATTTGATCACATTGGATCTGGTCTTTACTTTCAAGAATTAGTCAAAATTACTGTTTTATTGTTATTTTTTATTAAAACTGTTTAATTAACGTTACTTTGTATCGAATTGTTTCCTTACTTAGTTATGATGAAATATTAGTTGCTTTCTACCACCAACCTATGATGTTATCGCATGCTATTCAGCTACAACTGGACATTTTCAAACAAATAACCCTTATCAGTGCTCTAAAGGAGGCACCAGGATATGGCAGGTGGTGGCAAGGACTTCCTCTTCCCCTCCCAGATACTATCTCCTGATAGTATCTGGTGTGTGCCGCCCCAGTCTCCTCTCATTGCTCCACTTCAGACTGGTTTCAAGACTATTTGGGAGAATTCTTCTTCATCGTCCTCCTCCTCCTCGTCAGTAAAATCTAACAGTTCCAGTGCCTCGTCTAGAAAATCAACCCCTTCCTCACTAAGAAGTAACTCCACTGAACTACCCAGATACTCCCCAGCTGCCAGCCCTGCTCCCGGCCCCCTCAACTGGAAGAGCCCTGTCTCTACACCGGACCTGGTCACTTGTCACGTACAGAGTATGAAGTACCGAGCAGAGCCCCCCACTCTCCGTGTCAGACCCTCCCCGCTGGAAACTACCTCCCTCAACTTGAACCCTATAGGGTTAGGGTCCGCGCCGTGTAGGATGGAGCCTATTTCTCGCGGAGAGAGCAGCAGAGAGGAGCTGTTTTCTCCGGATACTCCCAGACATTCTGTCAGTGGGATGTCACGTGATACTCCGAGACATTCTGTCAGTGGGATGTCACGTGATACTCCGAGACATTCTGTCAGTGGGATGTCATCTGTTGAGACTCCGTTAATGAGTGGGATATCACGTGACGAGAATCAATCACGTGATGAGACTGAATCAGGTGGTGGGATGTCACGTCACAGCTCTCAGTGTTCTCTCGAAAGTTTACAGTCTTCCCTTTCCGAGTACTGGTATGGATAAGTTGGGAAAGTGGGCGAAATTTCCGTTTTATTATTAAAACTTACCGCCCATCAGGGACTATTGGTATCATGGAACAAATCGCTGTTGCACTATTTTGATATGTTCTTATTTCAGTGGATCACTTCGACAGCTAGAAGAATTAGAAGTTGGTCAGGAGTCACTCAATAACTCCCTCCTTGCACTCACATCTCACTTTGCCCAGGTTATTAGAGAGCAATACTTTGCATTTTGCAATTCATCAAATACTTTTCATTTTTCAACATCATTCGGTACTTCTATTGTGATATTGAGAGTTTTTCAATGATTTATTATTAATTTTGAAATATGTTACTGGAAAATTTGTTAATTTTAAAAGAATAAATCGAAATTAACGTCCGCCTGACACTATTTATCTTTTTGCAGGTACAATTTCGTCTGAGACAAATTACCCAAAGTGAGTCATCTGACAGAGATGCTTTGTTGCAAGAATTAGAAAAATTTGCTTTCACGGGTTGTCAGGACCTACCAAGTTATGAAGATGTGCATGAGTCGGTGAGTGGCATTGTTTGGTTTGGTAGACAGCATTCAATGAGGGCCTTTCGCTGATATTTACGTAACTTTGTGTCACATTGAAACTTGTATTATTATGATGTAATATATGGATGGCGCGGAGGTGATTTTAATCATTATTTCCGTGCGCGCCACCCATTTTAAACCATGTGCATGGCGCGCATACCCGACATTTCCGTGGTCCGTCCCACCAAATAATAAGAATGTAACCGCATAGAGAAAGGTGCTAGAATGTTTGTCAGTTGAATTGTTGCTCCTTTCGTTTTGTTGATATCGTTGTTGATGCCTGATGAACCTGTAACGTCCAACCTCTGTCAGATCTGCAGTACTTTCGAGAGGCGACTGTCGGAGCAGAAGGCTAAGCATGAGGAGCTTATATTTCAGCTGAAGTTTCAGCTTAAAGACCTTGAGCAATATGCAAAACAAGTTAGTTATTTTGGGCCGTTCTTTGTTTATATAGGGGTAATGGTAGTTTCCAGGCATATCTAAGGCGGGAAGGGCGGATTCTAGCACGGACGAGGGTTTCCGTTAAGAGCGGCCCGGATTTTACCTTTTCAATAGATAGGTAGGTTAGTGTATGTACATGTGATAACGTACAATAATTGTTCGTGTTAACTTTTATAAGCACTAAACATTTAGTTGAGTCATCATGTGCTTATATTCCCATTTTCAGTCGTCAGAAATCAAAACCAATGAGCAAATAAGAAGACACAAGCTCGTTTTAGAGCAAATAAAGAACTATTTAAAGATCGATATCAGTGACCTCTATAGATTACCGTAAGTAAACGTTAAACAGGACGCCTCACTCGTCGTTCATTATATTATGGGATACTATTTATCACTTCACGTCTCTGTGGAACGTTTTTATATTCACACCAATTATTATCATTTGTTGTAGCTTGTGTGACCGATTAACAGCTGATGTTAATTTTCAGGAGCGATGAGCTACTAGTTACCATAGTTACACTACTTTGTTCAGGAGTGATGAGCTACTAGTTACCATAGTTACACTACTTTGTTCAGGAGTGATGAGCTACTAGTTACCATAGTTACACTACTTTGTTCAGGAGTGATGAGCTACTAGTTACCATAGTTACTTTGTTCAGGAGTGATGAGCTACTAGTTACCATAGTTACTTTGTTCAGGAGTGATGAGCTACTAGTTACCATAGTTACTTTGTTCAGGAGTGATGAGCTACTAGTTACCACAGTTACTTTGTTCAGGAGTGATGAGTTACTAGTTACCATAGTTACTTTGTTCAGGAGTGATGAGTTACTAGTTACCATAGTTACTTTGTTCAGGAGTGATGAACTTCTAGTTACCATAGTTACTTTGTTCAGGAGTGATGAACTTCTAGTTACCATAGTTACTTTGTTCAGGAGTGATGAACTTCTAGTTACCATAGTTACTTTGTTCAGGAGTGATGAACTTCTAGTTACCATAGTTACTTTGTTCAGGAGTGATGAGCTACTAGTTACCATAGTTACTTTGTTCAGGAGTGATGAGTTACTAGTTACCATAGTTACTTTGTTCAGGAGTGATGAGTTACTAGTTACCATAGTTACTTTGTTCAGGAGTGATGAACTTCTAGTTACCATAGTTACTTTGTTCAGGAGTGATGAACTTCTAGTTACCATAGTTACTTTGTTCAGGAGTGATGAACTTCTAGTTACCATAGTTACTTTGTTCAGGAGTGATGAGCTACTAGTTACCACAGTTACTTTGTTCAGGAGTGATGAGTTACTAGTTACCATAGTTACTTTGTTCAGGAATGATGAGTTACTAGTTACCATAGTTACTTTGTTCAGGAGTGATGAGCTACTAGTTACCATAGTTACTTTGTTCAGGAGTGATGAACTTCTAGTTACCATAGTTACTTTGTTCAGGAGTGATGAGCTACTAGTTACCATAGTTACTTTGTTCAGGAGTGATGAGCTACTAGTTACCATAGTTACTTTGTTCAGGAGTGATGAGTTACTAGTTACCATAGTTACTTTGTTCAGGAGTGATGAACTTCTAGTTACCATAGTTACTTTGTTCAGGAGTGATGAACTTCTAGTTACCATAGTTACTTTGTTCAGGAGTGATGAGCTACTAGTTACCATAGTTACTTTGTTCAGGAGTGATGAGTTACTAGTTACCATAGTTACTTTGTTCAGGAGTGATGAGCTACTAGTTACCATAGTTACTTTGTTCAGGAGTGATGAGCTACTAGTTACCATAGTTACTTTGTTCAGGAGTGATGAGCTACTAGTTACCATAGTTACTTTGTTCAGGAGTGATGAGCTACTAGTTACCATAGTTACTTTGTTCAGGAGTGATGAACTTCTAGTTACCATAGTTACTTTGTTCAGGAGTGATGAGCTACTAGTTACCATAGTTACTTTGTTCAGGAGTGATGAGTTACTAGTTACCATAGTTACTTTGTTCAGGAGTGATGAACTTCTAGTTACCATAGTTACTTTGTTCAGGAGTGATGAACTTCTAGTTACCATAGTTACTTTGTTCAGGAGTGATGAGCTACTAGTTACCATAGTTACTTTGTTCAGGAGTGATGAGTTACTAGTTACCATAGTTACTTTGTTCAGGAGTGATGAGCTACTAGTTACCATAGTTACTTTGTTCAGGAGTGATGAGCTACTAGTTACCATAGTTACTTTGTTCAGGAGTGATGAGCTACTAGTTACCATAGTTACTTTGTTCAGGAGTGATGAGCTACTAGTTACCATAGTTACTTTGTTCAGGAGTGATGAGCTACTAGTTACCATAGTTACTTTGTTCAGGAGTGATGAGCTACTAGTTACCATAGTTACTTTGTTCAGGAGTGATGAGCTACTAGTTACCATAGTTACTTTGTTCAGGAGTGATGAGCTACTAGTTACCATAGTTACTTTGTTCAGGAGTGATGAGCTACTATTTACCATAGTTACTTTGTTCAGGAGTGATGAGCTACTATTTACCATAGTTACTTTGTTCAGGAGTGATGAGCTACTATTTACCATAGTTACTTTGTTCAGGAGTGATGAGCTACTAGTTACCATAGTTACTTTGTTCAGGAGTGATGAGCTACTAGTTACCATAGTTACTTTGTTCAGGAGTGATGAGTTACTAGTTACCATAGTTACTTTGTTCAGGAGTGATGAACTTCTAGTTACCATAGTTACTTTGTTCAGGAGTGATGAACTTCTAGTTACCATAGTTACTTTGTTCAGGAGTGATGAGCTACTAGTTACCATAGTTACTTTGTTCAGGAGTGATGAGCTACTAGTTACCACAGTTACTTTGTTCAGGAGTGATGAGTTACTAGTTACCATAGTTACTTTGTTCAGGAATGATGAGTTACTAGTTACCATAGTTACTTTGTTCAGGAGTGATGAGCTACTAGTTACCATAGTTACTTTGTTCAGGAGTGATGAACTTCTAGTTACCATAGTTACTTTGTTCAGGAGTGATGAGCTACTAGTTACCATAGTTACTTTGTTCAGGAGTGATGAGCTACTAGTTACCATAGTTACTTTGTTCAGGAGTGATGAGTTACTAGTTACCATAGTTACTTTGTTCAGGAGTGATGAACTTCTAGTTACCATAGTTACTTTGTTCAGGAGTGATGAACTTCTAGTTACCATAGTTACTTTGTTCAGGAGTGATGAGCTACTAGTTACCATAGTTACTTTGTTCAGGAGTGATGAGTTACTAGTTACCATAGTTACTTTGTTCAGGAGTGATGAGCTACTAGTTACCATAGTTACTTTGTTCAGGAGTGATGAGCTACTAGTTACCATAGTTACTTTGTTCAGGAGTGATGAGCTACTAGTTACCATAGTTACTTTGTTCAGGAGTGATGAGCTACTAGTTACCATAGTTACTTTGTTCAGGAGTGATGAACTTCTAGTTACCATAGTTACTTTGTTCAGGAGTGATGAGCTACTAGTTACCATAGTTACTTTGTTCAGGAGTGATGAGTTACTAGTTACCATAGTTACTTTGTTCAGGAGTGATGAACTTCTAGTTACCATAGTTACTTTGTTCAGGAGTGATGAACTTCTAGTTACCATAGTTACTTTGTTCAGGAGTGATGAGCTACTAGTTACCATAGTTACTTTGTTCAGGAGTGATGAGTTACTAGTTACCATAGTTACTTTGTTCAGGAGTGATGAGCTACTAGTTACCATAGTTACTTTGTTCAGGAGTGATGAGCTACTAGTTACCATAGTTACTTTGTTCAGGAGTGATGAGCTACTAGTTACCATAGTTACTTTGTTCAGGAGTGATGAGCTACTAGTTACCATAGTTACTTTGTTCAGGAGTGATGAGCTACTAGTTACCATAGTTACTTTGTTCAGGAGTGATGAGCTACTAGTTACCATAGTTACTTTGTTCAGGAGTGATGAGCTACTAGTTACCATAGTTACTTTGTTCAGGAGTGATGAGCTACTAGTTACCATAGTTACTTTGTTCAGGAGTGATGAGCTACTATTTACCATAGTTACTTTGTTCAGGAGTGATGAGCTACTATTTACCATAGTTACTTTGTTCAGGAGTGATGAGCTACTATTTACCATAGTTACTTTGTTCAGGAGTGATGAGCTACTAGTTACCATAGTTACTTTGTTCAGGAGTGATGAGCTACTAGTTACCATAGTTACTTTGTTCAGGAGTGATGAACTACAAGACAAGGTTGAGGAAGCAGTGCAGGACATGTTAGCGCCAATTAAAAGTAAGGAGCAGATGCTCTTCCAGCTAACTACTCAGGTAAATAGTACTACTAGTTTACTACTACTAGTTTAACAGCTTATATCTTGGGTTTAATTCGTCGCTGCCGGAGTGGAGGTGGTTCACAGAAATTCTTAATTTGTTTTAAAAAATGAAATTCATAATTCATGATTAATTACAAAATCACAATACAAAATCACACTGTGGTAAAAATAGCTAAAGTCCCGAGAATCACATTTCATCATAAAAACATACACTCGACCAGTCAGGAAACTGTACTGTTCAACACACATTTTAGTGTCCTGACAACTAGTAGCTCCTTCACACTACTAGTTACCATAGTTACACTACTTTGTCCTGACAACCAACTACGCCATCTTAGTAGCTCCTTTAAGGATCAGGTTCTTAAACCTGTCAATCTCCGAACCGGACCAGCAATCTTTACATGTCTCGTAGCTGTTACCGAGACATCCTAAGGGGACGTGTTGGTGGGAATTGTTGAACAAATAAACAACGTACAGATATTACATTGAACCAAAGCGTAGATCTAAAACTCTATGAGGAAATGAATGGACACAAATATGTGTGTGATTTACCGATACACGATGCGTCCGTAATGCAGGAACCTTCACAACAAGAGTCAATACATTTAGCCACTGCAAGTGCGCATCTGAAATGAAAACATGTAAATTAATTTGATGGCAAGGATTCTCAATCTTAAGTTAGCGTCCTGATCTATGTTACCCTGGTTACCCTGATTTATGTTACCCTGGTTACCCTGGTTACCCTGATCTGTGTTACCCTGGTTACCCAGTAACCTATGTTACCCTGGTTACCCGTACTTTACTTACTCGATCCAATCACAACCAAGGTTTCCTACTTCAGTATTGCACGACCCCTCACATCCACAGCAGAAATCGTTGCAGCCATCACCGCCGCATTTTAGCGAGGCTGGGTCCTGTAAAGTGAATTGGTTATTTTGTTGATTTTCTAGTGGTGAAAAAATAATGTTAAGAGTTGAAAAATGGAATATTAACAGCACTGCAGCAAAATAAAACATAAAAACTAAATGCTAGATTAACCTGGGGACACAACTAGACTAACCTGGGGACACTGCTAGACTAACCTGGGGACACTGCTAGACTAACCTGGGGACACTGCTAGACTAACCTGGGGACACTGCTAGACTAACCTGGGGACATTGCTAGACTAACCTGGGACACTGCTAGACTAACCTGGGGACACAGCTAGACTAACCTGGGGACACTGCTAGACTAACCTGAGGACACTGCTAGACTAACCTGGGGACACTGCTAGACTAACCTGGGACACTGCTAGACTAACCTGGGGACACTGCTAAACTAACCTGGGGACACTGCTAGACTAACCTGGGGACACAACTAGACTAACCTGGGGACACTGCTAGACTAACCTGGGACACTGCTAGACTAACCTGGGGACACTGCTAAACTAACCTGGGGACACTGCTAGACTAACCTGGGGACACTGCTAGACTAACCTGGGGACACTGATAGACTAACATGGGGACACTGCTAGACTAACCTGGGGACACTGCTAGACTAACCTGGGGACACTGCTAGACTAACCTGGGGACACTGCTAGACTAACCTGGGGACACTGCTAGACTAACCTGGGGACACTGCTAGACTAACCTGGGGACATTGCTAGACTAACTTGGGGACACTGCTAGACTAACCTGGGGACACAACTAGACTAACCTGGGGACATTGCTAGACTAACTTGGGGACACTGCTAGACTAACCTGGGGACACAACTAGACTAACCTGGGGACACTGCTAGACTAACCTGGGGACACTGCTAGACTAACCTGGGACACTGCTAGACTAACCTGGGGACATTGCTAGACTAACTTGGGGACACTGCTAGACTAACCTGGGGACACAACTAGACTAACCTGGGGACACTGCTAGACTAACCTGGGGACACTGCTAGACTAACCTGGGGACACTGCTAGACTAGCCTGGGGACACCGCTAGACTAACCTGGGGACACTGCTAGACTAACCTGGGGACACTGCTAGACTAACCTGGGGACACTGCTAGACTAACCTGGGACGCTGCTAGACTAACCTGGGGACACTGCTAAACTAACCTGGGGACACTGCTAGACTAACCTGGGGACATTGCTAGACTAACCTGGGGACACTGCTAGACTAACCTGGGGACACTTCTAGACTAACCTGGGACACTGCTAGACTAACCTGGGGACATTGCTAGACTAACCTGGGGACACTGCTAGACTAACCTGGGGACATTGCTAGACTAACCTGGGACACTGCTAGACTAACCTGGGGACATTGCTAGACTAACCTGGGGACACTGCTAGACTAACCTGGGGACACTGCTAGACTAACCTGGGGACACTGCTAGACTAACCTGGGGACACTGCTAGACTAACCTGGGGATACTGCTAGACTAACCTGGGGACAGCATTTGAGGTCGTGTTCTTGAATAGGAGAAGTGTAAATAACCACAAACAGCAGAGCGAAGCCGAGAATCATAGTCTTCATCATCGTCAGGGAAGTCTGCGTCTAGATCGTTAAAAAGAGAAGATTGGTGAGTTAACGCTGGGGTGGGTTTTATAGCCTCGCGGTGTGCTGAACTCGGAAGTGGAAACCATGTTCTCGGGAATTCTATTCCTGAACATACTCAAAATACGAAATCCCCATTTCTCAAGGAGCAGTTCTCACTGATTGGTGCTGGCAACAGTTAGAGCATTCTTGTGAAACATGATACTATGAGGAGTCTCAGTTTCTTACCCCTCAGAAAGATGGTGCGACAGGGTCCCTACTACCACTACTATGTTATAGGTTGCAGACTGCAGTGTTACAACAAGATAAGGTCAATCGTAGATTATAACTAGAAAGTCAGAATTACGCGCTAATTTCCCGAATTTGTAATTATGGCTTCACAGTTCACACTGCCACAAAATACTTGCTATATTATTATTATTATCAAACTTTACACAAATCCAAAGTAGTTACTAAGAACATCCTAAAGACCTGATAAGTCTACTTAAAAGACTTGTAGAACTGAAAACTTACTATAAATACAAAAAATGGAACTTAAAACTTGCTATATATAGCAAGTTTTATATATATAGCAAGTTTTATATATATATAACAATTTTATATGACAATTTTAAATACAACAATTTTACAATTTTGTCTCACTTAAAGCGTATATAATATCATCCTTAGATTCTTCTAACGTACAAATACAACGCATTTTCTCAGCTCTCAAATTTCAGGTTCAAGATCTAGAGCGTTTTATTGAGTTCCTGCATGGAACTGGCACGACGCCAAACGCGCTGTCGCACGAGATTCGGCGCTGCACGTGCAACTGTCCGCTGCACGGCGAACCTCACGAAGCACAGAAACTAGCCTCAGTTAAATCTAAGGTTTGTTGCTTTTACAAGTTGTATTTTGTGATGTTCCTTCTCTTGGTATTTCTCATTCAAAACTTCTTAGCCCAACTATTCTTATTTTCGACTGTAGCTAACTCGACTGTAGCTAAATATTTAGAACAGGCTACGATATACATTCGTGTAGTATTTCTAATTTCACAAACAATGGTCCCACATGAAATCTGACCCACTAACTGTCTCAAGATCACATCATAATCACTCGCAGTAAAAACACCTGGCCATCCTGCCCTGTGTACTCTGTTTAAAATAGTCGCTATATTTGAGGCTGGTTTTAAACAATGAAAGTCTCCAATTCTAACGTAATGGACGCCGTGTTACAGAATATGAGGGCGGACAGTGTCGAGTTTTTGTCGAAGACCTTGCTGATGTTCCAAGTACTGGTGATTAACTCCCTGCGTGTTATCGGGTGCCAGTGGAGAAACCACGACAAAACCCCTACTTATATGTAAGTGCTCTGTTACCTTGTTTAGTTTTGTTTATTGTCCTCTGTTTGCTGAAATGAGGTGCTTAAAATGGATTATCGATCACCTTGATAGTGATATTAAGTAACTCATCTAACAATATTGTGTGGTAATCCATATTCGCCTTTATCCGGAACCAAGTGGAATGCTAGATTGACACATACTATCCGTTACCATGACAACCTTTCGCAGGTGTCACGTGAGGAAACTAGAAGAGTCAGTAGATAACCTCATCAGAACCTATCACAGCTCCACACCTGAAATTATACAGGTTATAGGACGGCCTTTGTTATCTTCTTCCTTTTTCTGGGGAATATATTCCATTTCAAGAGCTTCAATCCTGGCTCCTGCTTTGTGTTTCCTGTCTGTTGCTGGTAGTCACTAGTTGCTGGACATTTGCCCAGTTTTCTCTAATGTGCTCAAAATAAAAATTCGCAACAGCATCACTGCAAAATGATCCCCCCCCCCTCCTTATTAAAGAATAAAGGAACGTAATCTAAATCTCCAGCGGATCTACAGATCCAATCGTCCCAATAGTTTTTCTCGTGAATTTTTTCTTGACAGGCATTTGCTTAAAAAATACACATTTTCTTAAAAAATACATTTCAGTAGAAATGACATGTTTTATTCGCAGGATTTACTGTTAGAGATGGTGAGAAGGAAGGTGGCGGTTCCTCTGAGAATGTTGTTTTCTCACGGACTAAAATCTCAGAAGAAAGAAAGTCTTGCACTTGTCAGCTGTGCTACTAAAAACAGACAGTTTTCTAAAGGAGTCCATCCGTGGAACTTGTTCTTAGAATTCTATAAGTTACAGGTAACCTATCCTTATATTATACATTTATCACATGCGTTCTCATGCGATATCAAAACTATCGCCCACGAGGCTTGCCGAGTTAGCGAAAGTTTCGTTATATCGACATTTTCAATCACGAGGCTTGCCGAGTTTTGAAAATGTTGATATCGCATGAGAAGGCATGTGATTAATGTTTTATCACACTTTCTTTGGAGCCAAATTTGGCCGGGAAAGCAGAATTTGATCAAACGTTAGTTATAAATCTCACCAAAGCAAAACTAGACATGTCGAACTTATTTATGTTTATAATGTTCAGGCTATATATAGCTCTCGATGAGTTAGTATCTCAGATATCGAAGATACAATACGTTAAATTAGGATCTTACGTGCTCACACTAATGTCACAGTGGATGCTGTATGCCGCGCCCAATTTGCTTTCTATTGATAAGTGATACGTAGTGCATTGAATATTAATATATTTATCGAGCATGGGACTTGTACTTATTGGCGTCTAGAATATGGGAATATCGGGCTCTCTCTGATCAACTGATTGATATTTCATGCCCCCGGGTGAGAGCCAGTGCTCCCCATCGGGGCATGTAATATCAATTCTGCTTTCCTGCCAAATTTGGCTCGAAAGTGTGATAATAGAGTATATATGTGGCAAGCCTGCTCCCTGAACAAAAAAATATATATATAACATATCTGAGAGTGGCAGTAATTACAGTTTCAGTACTCACATGAACTTTCGGAAAGACATGAAACTTACAGAAAGAAGAGTAATTTTGACGTTTTATTTATTTCAGCACGGAAAGTCGTTCACGGAGCAGCCTCAATACCAACTGTCACAAAGTTTCGGGCTGAGAATACAAAGACAGTCTATAAACAGCAAGCAGAGTTTGTTGAGTTGTATCCACAAAGTTAGGGAGTCTCACGAACCCTTTAAACGGAGTAGTGATGCTAAGTTTAAAGCCCTCATCGTCCACGGAATTAAGTTAGTCCTCTCTCTCTCTCTCTCTCTCTCTCTCTCTCTCTCTCTCTCTCTCTCTCTCTCTCTCTCTCTCTCTCTCTCTCTCTCTCTCTCTCTCTCTCTCTCTCTCTCTCTCTCTCTCTCTCTCTCTCTCTCTCTCTCTCTCTCTCTCTCTCTCTCTCTCTCTCTCTCTCTCTCTTTCTCTCTCTCTCTCTCTCTCTCTCTCTCTCTCTCTCTCTCTCTCTCTCTCTCTCTCTCTCTCTAATTCACTTACTTTTCCTTTTTGCATGTTTTCCGACATAACAGTATAGCTCCCATTTTGTATTTTCTTCTGAATGCTGCATAGTAGATGTATTTAATATATTGTTTACCCCTGCAGTGACGGAATGCTGGGTCAGTGGATAAGAGTTCTAGCGAACAGTGACACACTACAGCAGCAAGTGTACGAACCCTGGAGCTACATGTCTAAACACGGTTAGTTATACTAACTACTACTTTGTTAATCAGTTAATTAGGTTAATTAAGTTAATCAGTTAATTAGGTTAATCTGTAATTACTACTACTTTGTTAATCAGTTTAATTAGGTTAATCTGTAATTACTCTGTGCAATTTGTAGATACTCTATTAATGTACAACTTTGTTTGATAGTTTTAACATCATGACGAGGGCTTCCCACAGTCAGTAATGAACCACCCCCCCCCCCCCTACCCTACGAAGCCTCACTCTCACTTCTATTTCAGGGTTCAGTGACGCTATGATGATTGTAGATCGACTGGCTAATATAAAGTTCGATCTACCAACCGACACAGCGCTCAAGATATTTCATGTGCCGGAGATAACAGAAACTCCGATATACTGATAAGAGCTCATGAGATCTATAACATGAGATCTACGAGCTGATCCGTAACAACTTATCCAACCAACTGATCTGATCTACTAATCTAATTCAATTTGTGATTTGTTCTTATCTGTGATCGGAACTGAACATTTGAATTTGATGGATCAATCTGTTAATTATAGGTTCCAATTTAAATCTTTTACTTGATTACTTGCAAATCTAGCTGTTTTCCTTTATTTTTGGCATAACCAAAAATAAAAGGATAGGTGAAATTAGAAATAAAATTGATTCCTCTTGCAGGAATTGATATCGAATATATTTAATGAAAACTTTGATTTTATTAGTTAATTAGATATGAATAATAGTTGAAATCAATACAATAGTTGAAATCAAATTCAATACAATAGTTGAGATCAATATAATAGTTGAAATCAATTGATGATCACTTAATTATATATTCTCCGATCCCTGATGTTTTGAACGACTTGTGGATTACGAAACTAAGTGTAACTTCCGCACACCTTAACAGAAATATTTATCTTGTTAACTAAATAAATGCGATGAACGTTTTTTAACATTTGTAAAAGGATGTAATACAATCTGCGGTGCAGGGAATAAATTAAATTATAGATTTACAAACCGCTCATGAACATTTGCATTAAATTACACGATTAGTTTTTCATCTTTGCAATGTTTCTGATTCTCTTTTGGCACTAATTTTGTAGACTTCTTTTTGATTCGTATGTTATGATGTTTAAGATCAGGAAAACGGGTAGATGTTGAAATAAAATCTGTACATAGAGTGTATTTAGCTTCATTTTTTACAAAACCACAAAATAAAAGAGTGTCAGTGCTTTTAATCATTACTCGTCAAATGTATGGCTCGATACAAACTTAAAATACTCGTTAAGATTAAAGCCTAATTTATCAATAAAAAGGTCAGATAAAATGAAAACTACTATGTTCTTTGATCAAAGCATTGAGAATTCCTCTTCCGTCAAATTATGGAATCTAGAGCACCCCGTTCGTTCTGAAGAAAGTGTCTTGCACGATTCTAGACCTGCCAAACTGAGCGGGTTTACCCTCGATACTGCCACTGACCTCCCTGATCTTCCACCCTACCTCCAAGGCGCTGGTTAGCGGGTACTGGTACTTCTCCTCCGGGCCCTTGTTCTTCCTCTGGAGGAGGTACGCTTTCCTTCCTTCACCCTCCGCACTAAGCCCAGTGTACAGTTTGTTCTTGGTTGTGGCTGATGCTACTCGCATCGTAACCTCTAGCTCGTCTGGTTGGGCTGGTCGAGTTTCAGGTTTAGGTGCGGGAGGTTCTGGACTTTTGTACCCTGGCAGATCTTTTGTTTGGAGAGGTTGAACCTGATGAGAGGAGATGATAGTTAAAATTTGTAGAAAAACTAAACTTAAGTGCTAAATTCTGAGATACTGAGTGGGATCAATATTGATAATTTAATTTAACTAGCAGGAACTCGTTTAACCCTAAAAATAAAATGGTGTCAAGACTCAAAAGACTATAATAGTTATATTTATTATCTACTATTTCGACACCATTTGGGGGTCCAAATTTTGAGAACTAACATTTTTATTCCTTGGCCAATTTTTTATTTTGTCATGCTGATTTGAAGGCCATGAAAGTGTAAAGTATTTGAACCAGTCAAAAACGTTTAAGCTGCATATCTTTTACAGTTTTTACGGAAAGTCGTGTTAAAGTTGATGCCGTGGTGTCAGTAAAATGGTACGGATAAACATATATAATTATAGTAAGATGTGAAAGTTAAATGGATGATGATTAATCACTCTACACTCGACTGTCACGTGACTTTTTAAACACTTCCTCTACTTCTAGTTGGCTGTGATTGATTATTCGAAACCTTAACCATCTAATCTGATCCCAACCCTAACCCAATCCCTAACTGAAGCATATGTTGAAACCCTAACGTGAAATTAGACCAACTTCCTTATAAGGTCATATCAGTATCGAGACAGTTTTTCGCCGATATTTCGCTAGGGGAGCATTTTAACCCTATGTCATGTGGGGTGATTCGGAATCAGCGTACGAAAATACATCGGATCAGGTAGGTTTCAACTGTCAGGGGCCCTTTTAGAAAACTCTCGAAGGTCGACTGTAAAGTGATTTAGCACGCTTGGATCTAAATATACTTATAGCATTTAAACTAAGTATAGCATTTAAAGCGGTCTTGAACTGTTAATGATCCATCCCAGCAGGTTAAGTTGCCGGAAAAATTGGTGGGAACATTCGATGTAATGTTCAGAAATTAGGCAATGACTACGAAAAGGAAACGGAAGACACATTACTAAAAGTAAAACTATTCACTCACAGTGATCTTCCTGGCTTTCACTGGTTTGATTCTTTCCTCGTCACTAAATCCGTCGCTCATGTGTTGTTGAAACCATCGGTTTCTTATTAAGACCTCGTTGTTTATTGACTCCTTCCAGAAGTTTTGTCGCTGCGTGTCCATGTTTAGTTCTCTCATGATGTCGTTGAATTCTTAAAACCTATTTTATGATGGTATATTATTTTCGGATGTGAATTCACAAATACAATGTAATGGCGAGCTTTTATTAAAACTTCCTAAAGTTTTAGGCGAAAAAACGTGAGGATATAACAAAATTTTAAGGCCATGGGATGATCACGGATGCAGTATAGTACTGACAGTATTATAAAATTATGTGTTCAGCTACAAATTGTAGGAACATATTGTTGTACATCAGTACAATATTGCGACAATTTAGTCAGATCAAGTAATACTAATAGCATAAACTGAATGTGTAAATAATGATACAGACCAAATGGTCTGTATAGACCTCGAGTTATTGACGAATAAACAGAGATTACACTTCAAGAGGGGAGATAAGGCCAAGGATGAAAATTATATCTAATCACTAATAGTAATATAATAATATAGGCAGCAGCTGGAATCCCAGAAGTAACAAGTAAATCAGATTCTCCGTGTAATGGAAAGAGGCATTACCATTACAAAATCGGGGGCCTAGCAACGGCTTAAGGTTTGATGGTATTAGTAAAATGACTTACGCTGCACGGAAATTCAATGGTCGCGACGGCTGCAAAATATTCTAGAAGGCATCGAATTACAAAGATGAAAGAATGAAATCTAAAACTAGCTTTTTGGATAACAGCACGATGGTAAAACAACTTTGGAACCTTTACAAAGCTTTATCTTTGTTAGAATCCAGAAGATTGGAAATATCTGATGCGAATATCAAATATGTAACAGCCCTACTGAAAATGTAAGTGACTAGCTATTAATTCGCTGTTTTGGGTATTAGCGATATATGTAATGCTATGGCAACGGCGAAGGACTTATCACGGCTGTAATCTTAGAGCAGATGATGCATTAATTTTCCAAATCACTTCATGCCATTTTGTGCTTGACACTTATCAAACAGAGTGTTCCGCAGCTGGAAATTATTTCGGCGTCAAATTCTATTCTTGAATGCTTAAACGATGACCTTCGTATAAACTCATTAAGTGATGTACAATGCCGTAAATTGGCCAGCTAATTTAAATTATGAATCAAATGTGATTAGTAGATAGTGATCAGGAATCGTTTCAATTTCATCATCTGCTCTTAACAAATGAAGTTTGGGTGACAACGTGTAACTGAGATAAGTGTAGTGGTTATGCTTGCAAGACATGATTTTAAAATTATCTGCTCCTTCGTAAACATTTTAAACTCGTTTTGCAGTCATGCTTGTATTGTCCAGCGGTGGCGTTTTCCAGTTATTCACAATTGCATGATAGTTGCTTGTTAGATGTTATCGGCACACAGTAACGAGTATAATCATTGTGAATCTAAATCTTCGTTAATACGTTTCCTGTGCTCGCTTTTGAACCGCTAAAATACATCAATACTGAACGATTTGAAGCATCAAGTTTCCCTAAATTTTCGATAAAGTTGATTCTCTAAAACTTTAAAGATGGCACGACAGTCTAACATCGATACCACCAGACAAGAATTCTTGAAGGAATCGTACAGAAAAGAGAACACACTTCGAAATAAATGGTTTAGAGAGCACTTTGGGTCAGATGCTTTACCAGCAGGTGTAGGGGGAGCAGAATCGTCTACAAGCCCCGAACCAGAGAAGAAAGTTGGAAATCGTGGTAAACCAACCTTCATAAAGATAAAACCTGCCCCTGCTACTCCGCCAAAACGAGCATCTCCAGCTGCGAAAGAGTCTGAATCTGCAGTGGCACCGGGTCCAGAAATGAGGCCTCCCACTCCTGAAACGAAAAAGATGATTTACACAGGATTAAGTTGTGAAGGTAATGGACGGGTAGCTTACCTCGGAAAACGCAAAGGTTTGGCCCCAGAGAAGAAGTTCGAATATCCACTTACAAGTGCATTGGAAGTTGGATGGGATATCAGTGAGATTGCAAAAACGGCTGATATCAAGGAGGTGCACTATGGAAAAAGTAGGATCGTCCGAGACACCTTTTTTGCAGAAAGTGGCGTGATGTAATTGTTATATGCTAACTTAACCAGGACTTCAGACTCATGATCATTCGAGCTTACTCAATCACAGCAATTTATCTACTTTTAATTTTACTAAAGCAGTCTATCCGGCTTTAAAAAACCAAATTGGGTGCAGCTGACTGTGGAATTTATTGTTGATAAATTTTTAACTTAGATTTAATTTTAGTTTTAAATTTTGTACACTTATTCAGTATCAACTGTCTCAGTTTTGAGTTAACAATTCCAAATGCATTAGGTGCGATGCAGTCATTATAATATTTGTCATCAGCTCACTTAGCTTTGTAGACTGTAAATTAACATTTTATGCGTTTGAGAAATTACTGTGGTCAAGGATTTATCTTGTTGTCAATCACAAGCGCTGAATCATTTCTATATCATCATTTTGAAAACGAATTTGATTTTAAATTGTTGCTGAATTAAAATAAATATTGGAGCTAGATGATCTGATTCTAAAAACTTAATGAGAAATGAACCAGCTATCGACCAAGACGAAATTTTAGCCTTCTCAGAATGGAAAAAAAAGTGATTGTCAATAGCAATTTGAATTAGCCCAAGCCCTAAAAGACAACTTTAAATGTTGTGGCGGGCTTCATGAAATGGCGGAGCCCGTCTATAATCGGGCCGTGATTATTGTCTATAATGCAAGTAATTTTAGCCAGGCTTCAATCGTAATTTCTATGCTATGAATCGAAGGAAGCTATTAGGTGATACATTTCCTGTGGCGGTAAACTGTACAAAACAAGACGAAATCATTTCGTTTTTTATTTTAATTGACAAATTTTTTGAATCAAGCGGCACGTTATGTTTTGTGATATTGAAGGACATATCTTTTAATTCAGCACCATCCCAAACCAGCGAGAAATAAAACAGCAATTTCATATGGCGACTTCAAGATCGGTATAAATTAACAATAAAATCTTTACAAACAGGAATCGAACTGGCAGAACTGAGCCTTAGACTCAGAACGAACAAGAATTAACAGTGAGCATATATCAAAATGTTTTTATTGACAGATGGCACCATCATTACTGAGCAGCTGCGAGCTTTCTTTTCAGAGATTCGGGCATCTCTGGGGGAGGAGGTCGAGGAAGACGGAAGGCGACTTTGACTGAATCGTAGATGAACCATTGGAGGGCGGTCAGGGTTCCGATCATGATGATACGAGGTCCGAGTCCCTTCCAACAACCGGCAAGTCCTGAAACAATTCACTTGTTATCCTAAATGTTAATTGTAAATTGAGCCGGCAAAATTGTAACTATTACTCTTTAAAAAAACATGCTCTGGAGTTGATGATTGTACAATGTACCCACCTAATTCTTTAGCAGCCGAAACTACGCCACCTCCAGGGTTAGCATTAAGTTTAGAGACTATAGAGTCGGCAGGGTGAGACACGATGGCACAGAATACTCCAGCAATGTATCCAGCAATGAATGTCACCATAAGCTGTTCTCCTTTGCCGCAATCTGATCTTGGTTTGGGTACTACGTATCTGAAAAGAACAGGAGTTAAGTTTACTGCTTTAGTTCCAAGAATATAATCTATAGACTGTTCTATAGATTCGAAAACTTCCATCAACCATGGTAACCGAATACGGATGAAGTTATAAGTTTTAAAAACGTCACCTTCCGGTGAATTCTACACGCATTCAAAATATTCGTTCGTGCGCGAGCGAAAAATTGCTCACAACATAAAAAGTAGAATTGCGAATATGGCTAGATTCTGCTAGTCGTTGTGCGCAAACGTGCGTGGAAAGTGGATTTTCCACTGTCCAATGGAATGATCGGGAACTTTTAAACACTGATATCCGTCTACTCACTTATAAAGAAGTTCTACGGTTCGCTCAAAGCACGCGAACTTCATCATAGTGTAAGGGATCTGTCTGGCCCACAAGGGTGCGAGTCCTTTGTAAAAACCGTTGATACCTTCTTCCCTCATGATCCTTGGGGCACCTGAAATCGTACGTGACTTTTACACCATGCGATGATACATTTTCTGTAACAATCTCTAAGTGGCACGTTGATGTTATCTTCATGAATACAAGAAAACTATACTCTATTATATCTATTGTTCAATATCATCGTGTTAAGACAACGTTTGACCATTGTCAGTGGCGTAACGTTGCGTGCTGGCAATGTTACGGGCTATGTAGCTATAAATGCTATAAATGCTTAAGATTATGATTATTTGTTACCTGCCCTAAGAGTCTGCTCCCATCCGGGGGTGGTTTGAATCCTGACCTTTACACTCTCCATGGGACACAGGAAGATATCAGCGAAGAACTCAGCTGAGGCACTTGCAGCCAGGTACATTGTGGTTCTGTACAGGAAGGCGTTCTCCTGGGGACACAAAATTAGTTTAATTTGGTAAATTACTTATTTAATATTTACCGTTTTTTAAGATTCTTAACTTGCACGAATTAAAATTATTAACTTGTATTATGTATGCATCAAACAAGAGACTTAATATTAATTTCGCGTCCCAATTTCCCAAACTTCAAGATACATAATGTTATAATGAAAACTGCGACTGACCTCTCCCATCAATCCACCGTAGAAGTTTTTGAAAGCCTCGTAAAACCCAAACTTTCCGATTCCCTGCATAGAGTATCCTACAAGGGTTGGAGCCCATCCCAGAGTGAGGGCCTTCATGCCTCCCTCTGCAACGGACACCTTGAACCCGTTACCAAGACTCTTGTACTTGTCAGGATTGACCTGTTACAGGGTTTAAAAAGATGGGTTAAGTTAAATGCGTTATATAATACATTATACAATTTGTGCTATGTAACATTAAACATGCCGTCCACTTACTTGTGTATACGTTAAGGATATTACAAGAGTAATAGTAATTACAATAGCTTCGCTGTTATTTTAAAAGAATGATATAGTGTGCCCTACGAGAACGTTCTTAATACAGTCACAGGGTGGCCCATAAGTGACTACCAACACGCAACCTCTTAATAACTCACGTAATTCGTCTCCAAATTGCACCAAAATTTCAGAGATTATAGATATGGGTCAAACTTAGATTTCATGAAAGTTTCGTAAGCCACGCCCAATTACAGTGGGCGTGGCGTGACACTCCCTCTTTTTCACTATTGTCTTCATAAAATGAGAACGCTTTAAGCTAAGAACTCAAAATTCACCCAATCTGATCAAGAGTAAGGCGTTAGCGTGTATTAATGAGGTTCATTAGGCTTTGATTGGATACCGATGATGACTTTGCTAGAAAGGGAAACACAAATTTTTAGGATAAAAACCAGATCGTGACCTTTTCAGGAAAAGCCGTTCTCTCCACCACTTCATCCGGTCTAGTAGAGCCCCAGTGAATTGCATTCTGGGAGTTGCATATCCGTTTATATGGCCTTGTCGCTGTACCAGATTTCGTCCTCAAAGTAGGGATCCACATTCTGCTTGGACAGGAATGTGTTGGCGAAATCTATCCTCGATTGGAAATCACGGTCCAAAAGTTTGTGTTTCTTTGTGATTCGGTAGGCCCGGTTAGAAAGGTCTTGCTTTAGGATTCGCTGAAGGGTTCTGCTGATGTCTAAGGCAGGAGCTCGTTTCCGTGTGCCAATCTTAGGTGTGTCCATCACGTCACCAACAACCATCGTGATGTTTTCTACAGTCCTCGCAGTTCGTCTTCTGCCGACTCTTCGCCGATCGTGTGCAGAAAACGTAAACTTGATCTTGTGATGAATGTCAAAGCAGCTTTTCCGGCAAGGGGGTGGTCGGTTGAATTTCATCTGAAATTGTCGTTTAATCTGAGGGTAGAACTCCCCATTTTCTTTCTTCAGGTAGACGAACAATCGTTGTTCTGCAGTAAAGGGAGGATAGTGAACCATTTTTATTGATTGTAAGGAACCTGTGACTAGCAGGGCTAACAAGCCCTGAAATGGTGACACCACCATAAATTCGTGTGATAGCGTTTTAGGTGCAGTCAGCTGTATAGGCCGGCCCATAAGCAGGCTGCAACCAATCAAGCGGTGCATGTGAGCCAAACAGGCCATTAACCAAGTGACGAGATCACTGACTGAGTGCTCGGATCACGTATCCGATGAGTTTTGAAATGGTCATAACTTAGCCATATTTTAACCAATATATGAACTTGAAACTTTGGGAAAGGTTTTCAATTATCAAGCCAAATGTGTGCCAAAAATTTTGAGTTCTTAGCTTCAAGCGTTCTCATTTTATGAAGACAATAGTGAAAAAGAGGGAGTGTCACGCCACGCCCACTGTAATTGGGCGTGGCTTACGAAACTTTCATGAAATCTAAGTTTGACCCATATCTATAATCTCTGAAATTTTGGTGCAATTTGGAGACGAATTACGTGAGTTATTAAGAGGTTGCGTGTGGGTAGTCACTTATGGGCCACCCTGTATATATTAATATTATATATACGGTACTATATTAGACAGCAGGTATATATTATACATTAAAGTACATTAAAGTGGTAACACATTTTTATTGAGCAATAATTTGGCACTTAAAATATTACACTCAAAGCAGGGCCGGGGTGGACATATGATACTTACTTTATATAATTTATAGTTGTTATAGCAACCAGACATGTAATGGAGATAATTAGCAACTCATTTGAGTACGTGGATAACATTTATGTAATTGTAATTAGTATGAAGGCACTGTATTACACACATTACTGAGTTACTGAGAGCAATTATACACGTCAGGACAAAGATAAGGCAGGGTAGTACATTCGTTACAATGATTAGAATACAGAGTAGAGTAGAGTAGAGTACAATGAATTAGTAATCTCTAATCTGCAGTGCTTTGCTGTTTATGAACCAGCTAGGTACAAATATAGATAAAAGTAAACTATCTAGATAAAATTAAGAATAAAACAAACACCACAAATTGAATAAACAGTTAAATATTTAAATACAAAAAAAATATTATATTTATATGAATTATGATACTTATAAGTAAAAATACAAGTGAAACTAAAAAATAACAAGCACGATAGAATGCACAGTTTACCTGAATACGGCACTTGACAAGATCCAATGGCACGACAATAGTGTGAGTGAGGCCACAACTGAGGAGACCACCGAAAGCACAGAGTCCGTAGAACTTACCACTTCCAACTTCACAGCTGTATTGTGAGCCTGGGTGTGAGGTCGGTTATTCTAGCTGATTGGGATTTGGGGTTGGCAACCCGCCAACCCTATCAATACCGGGCAAGTTACAAACGTTAGAAAACATTTTAGTTAAAGTCGTGATAATTATTTACCTGAAGCGGCTACTAGCTGTTTTTGGGCAGACTGAGCGAAAAACGCCTCCTTTTGTCGTTCAAACACCATTGTGAGTCTTGCAGCTAAATATAGAGATTAAATGTTAGATATCAGACTCGAAGGAACCTTGAAGGAACTTATGAAGACAATTTATATTTAAATAATATTCGAAAATCTTGGATAACTCAGCAAAACAATGTCATGTTGGTAAAATAACAACAAAATGTATAAAAATACATGAAATACAATCCTGTACACTGGGGGTCACAAGTGAAGGTCACGATTAAACATTAGAAGAATAAAAAACTTCTTAGTTTAAAAAATAAAAAACAATGATTAAAGAAATTGGTACAAAATATTTAAAAAGTTCGGAAGGTCACAATCCCGTAGATCCATAATATCATGGCTCTAATTTAATCAAATCAATAATCAATCAATATTTTAATTTGCAATATAAAATCATCATATAAAATTATGTCCGTATAAAAACTGTACTAGATATAAATTTAGAAAATCTGTGATATAAAATTAAAATATTTCATCTGAAAACTTTCCAAACTCTATCATATAAATCATATTATATATCATGCAAATCACATTATATATCATATAAATTTGATTATTCTATCTATAAAACGTTTAAATAAACGTTCATAGAACGTGTGGTTGCGAGTTACATTCCTTTGTTCAATTTTGCTCAGATCAGGATTCCGGCTCAGGACACTTCCTCTGCAAGCACTCCTTGGTTTCCTTCAAATCCCAGCGAGTAGAACCTGAACAGCGACCCCGACTGTCCTCCATCCGGGAAAGAACGTACGGAATGTCAGTAGCAGCACAGTTTATATCCACATTATCACACCCCACCTGCAGCGTTAAATCGAGTTAACATCGTGTACTTTACAATCTGCACCGTGTATACGGGTGGTAGGCGGTAGCAAATTACACATTTTGAGCCAACTCTAACAATGGTAAAAACAACACCACCAACCTTAAGTTAAATGGGGGGGGGGGGCGCGCCGGGGAGGGGGGGGGGGGGGGGGGGGGGTACAACTGGGGGGGGGGGGCCGGGGGGGGTTACAACTGACCTGGTTTATCATATTGGCAGTAGCCCACATACAGATACACCAGTGCTCCCCAGGGTTCCTGCCGTAACACACACTGTTCTTCCAGTTGTACCTCTCCTGACTGGTAATCTCCCAGAAGTTCCTCTCCCCCCACTCTACAGCTGTGCACTGCCCGCTGCTCTTATCAACTATCTTAGCGCACACTCTGTGAGTGCGGGAGTGGTGGCACTTCTCGTCTCCGTACTTGCCACCTGATGGGGAGGTGCTGGTTTTACATTTAATACAGCAATGTTGGAGATTAACACAGGTTAAGCTAGGTTTGCATATATAACTATCATATCAAAAACAATTTCGGCACATTTACAAATGATAATATGAATAGTATGCAGCACTATTGGTTACCATGGTTACTTACGTGGGTGACCACGGTTTTCTCCGGGGCAGGGTTCTAGAGGAGGGTAAGCCGCGCTACAGACAGAAACCAAGCAGAGGAGCAGGGATAGCGTGTACTTCATAGCTATAACAATTAACAGTGAAGTTTAGTGTCTAGTTAAATATAACAATTAACAGTGAGGTTTAGTGTCTAGTTGAGTGATGAGATTTGAGAATGAGAGTAAAGATTGTTGATACATGGTTATGTTACATTTTTTATAAACAATAAAAGTCAAGTTTTGAGATTATATAAAAAAAGTCGGCACAGATTTGATTGGGTCACGGAAATGCCGACCAATTCGTGACTTATATTATATACCTATATATATATATTCATTCATCTATTTACCCATTCATTCATCCATAGAGGAGCTAAGAATTCCAACCAATTCAATACATTAAAATAACCTCACACAGTCCGTTGCATGCGGAAAATAACAATTACTTACTTATACTCCAGTAGCATATAAAGTGCTTTTTATCATTATATAAATAAACAACTTAACAAAGGCGTTTATCATATTCTATTCTATAAACTAAAAAGTTCGATTAACAGCTGCCCTGTGTATTAATTCTTAAGATATGTTTTATTAAACCAACTTGGTTAACACTTTCAACCAAAGCAAGTATGGTTACCATGGTTACACTGCTAGTTACCATGGTTACACTGCTAGTTACCATGGTTACACTACTAGTTACCATGGTTACTATCCGTAGCATCTGCTTGCTTTGGTAATCAGCCAGAGTGTAATTATTCAGATCTAGACGCATTATCTGTTTACATATGACGAAGTTAACTTGATAATATAACCTATGATACAGAAAAAGTTGAAATTTAAAACAGTTTAATTTCATTAAAATCCCAAATAGCATTAATCAAACTTCAAATAAGTCCATCCCAAAATTAAAATTCATTCAAAACAAATTGCGAGAAATTGAAAAAAAAACATCTGATGGTCACAGATCAGTTGCACGAAATTGAAAAAAGAAAAAATCTGAAGGTCACAGATTATCAAAGGGTCACAACAAAAATATAATAATCAATTTAAGAAAAATCTAATTTACAATTACATCTAAAAAATATATATTAAACTCTGTACTCTGTAATGTCTGTACTTATAACAGTTACATCAACTGCAAAATTGTAAACTAAAAACAATTACCAGTGTCGGTCTCAACATTTGAAAACCGGAAATTTAATCGAATTCAAAGATTCAGTGGATTCTCATAATTTGAACTAAACCCAAAATTAAAGCATGCTAGTACTCTACCAAGTCCATACTCCCATCATTTTATTGCAGACATTTCTTCTGGAGACACAATTTAGCATCGGCCAGGTCCACTCCGCCATCTGTGTATTTCTCCATCATATAGTTTACTGATGTAGCCTCACAGCGGATGTGAACATTGTCGCACCCAACCTGATTAAGTTAGGTTATTATTATTAAGTTTACATGTTTTAATTTGATATGTTCGTTTTTACATCATATCTCTTTCACCTCACGTCGGCGTAAATTCCATCTTGATGAACTTAAAGAGTGCAATTAATGATATTGCATACTTTTACTTCCGAGGTACAGTTACCCATATTTTATTTGCATGTAGATGGTAATTGGTAATCTATTTATACGGTGCGCAGCAGTTTGATATAATAATTAAAAATGCTAAAGGCTGTGATAGGCTGTGAAAGGCTACCGATGTGCTTACAAATTGAAGGGAGTTGAAACAGGATAACTTTGTTATTTGCCCCCCCCCCCCCCCCTTATTTGTGCAACTTTATAATTATAACCTTGCAGGTTGGAAGGTTCAAATCACAACAAAGTTTTGGATATTTTGTTCATGATCTTGAAGAGCAGTTTTAACCAGACTTAGCCTGCAATATTAGACATATATACATTAATCATTATACATTATACATTAATACAATATTATTCTTACATGGTTTAAACTTAACATAAATCATTTAAGTTGGCCAAAAAAGTACTAATGTGATAGAATTTACGAAGTATAACTGAAAGGGAAACTAACTTTCTTGATAAAACTAGCAGTAGTGAAAGTGAAACTAACCTTCTTGATAAGACTAGCAGTAGTGAAAGTGAAAGTGAAACTAACCTTCTTGTTAAGACTAGCAGTAATGAAAGTGAAACTAACCTTCTTGTTAAGACTAGCAGTAATGAAAGTGAAACTAACCTTCTTGTTAACACTAGCAGTAGTGAAAGTGAAACTAACCTTCTTGATAAGACTAGCAGTAGTGAAAGTGAAACTAACCTTCTTGATAAGACTAGCAGTAGTGAAAGTGAAACTAACCTTCTTGATAAGACTAGCAGTAGTGAAAGTGAAACTAACCTTCTTGATAAGACTAGCAGTAGTGAAAGTGAAACTAACCTTCTTGATAAGACTAGCAGTAGTGAAAGTGAAACTAACCTTCTTGATAAGACTAGCAGTAGTGAAAGTGAAACTAACCTTCTTGATAAGACTAGCAGTAGTGAAAGTGAAACTAACCTTCTTGATAAGACTAGCAGTAGTGAAAGTGAAACTAACCTTCTTGATAAGACTAGCAGTAGTGAAAGTGAAACTAACCTTCTTGATAAGACTAGCAGTAGTGAAAGTGAAACTAACCTTCTTGATAAGACTAGCAGTAGTGAAAGTGAAACTAACCTTCTTGATAAGACTAGCAGTAGTGAAAGTGAAACTAACCTTCTTGATAAGACTAGCAGTAGTGAAAGTGAAACTAACCTTCTTGATAAGACTAGCAGTAGTGAAAGTGAAACTAACCTTCTTGATAAGACTAGCAGTAGTGAAAGTGAAACTAACCTTCTTGATAAGACTAGCAGTAGTGAAAGTGAAACTAACCTTCTTGATAAGACTAGCAGTAGTGAAAGTGAAACTAACCTTCTTGATAAGACTAGCAGTAGTGAAAGTGAAACTAACCTTCTTGATAAGACTAGCAGTAGTGAAAGTGAAACTAACCTTCTTGATAAGACTAGCAGTAGTGAAAGTGAAACTAACCTTCTTGATAAGACTAGCAGTAGTGAAAGTGAACTAACCTTCTTGATAAGACTAGCAGTGGTGAAAGTGAAACTAACCTTCTTGATAAGACTAGCAGTGGTGAAAGTGAAACTAACCTTCTTGATAAGACTAGCAGTAGTGAAAGTGAAACTAACCTTCTTGATAAGACTAGCAGTAGTGAAAGTGAAACTAACCTTCTTGATAAGACTAGCAGTAGTGAAAGTGAAACTAACCTTCTTGATAAGACTAGCAGTAGTGAAAGTGAAACTAACCTTCTTGATAAGACTAGCAGTAGCCCACATACAGATACACCAGCTGTCACCAGGGTTGGGAGCTGCACACACCTTGTCCTTCCAGTTCCATCGTTCTTGGTCTACAATGATGCACACATAAATAAATAAATTCTAACATCTGTTACACGTTTCGACGATAAAAATATACCCAAAAAAAGATACATTTTAGTGATTTAAACGAGTACTATGAAAATATCTAAATTTACGCCCTGATACATAGTGAGCTCAAATTATTTGTAATATAATTTATATCGTATGTGTTGTGTGTAGTGTTGAAAGTATTAAAATAACAAATGTGTTGTGTGTAGTGTTGAAAGTATTAAAATAACAAATGTTCTTACTAGTGATATCCCAGAAACTCCTAGGGTGGTCAGGGTCTTCATCATCCCACGACAGTTCATCACATTTCCCATCAGTATTATCTACAAGCCTAGCACAGACTCTGTGAGTACTGTCATGGTTACACTTGTAGTCTTGGTATCTTGGACCTGAGGATAGGAATGGACTTCTAGCGACTTCAAAAAAAGAAAATTTAATTGGAATACAATTTCAATGTTACTTCAGAAACAAACTTATGATCTATTGCAGTAAATGAACTGAATGTCAGAGTTACCTTCCCCAGGGCAAACTGCCACCTCCTCTATAGGTGAAGCAGGATTGTAGTAAAGATCAGCAGTACAAACTGCAACCACTCCAAAGAAGAAGAGGGATGATGTTAATCTCATTTCTACCTAGATAATGATTAGGTTAATTCCAGGTTTAGCACAAGAAGTATGCATCATGAAATTAGCCAGCAGAATCAGCCAAAGTCGTTTTCAGTAAGTAATGAAAACATTGATATAAATAAAGATAGATAGCAATATAAAATCAATAACATAATGCCAAAATAATGCAGAGGGTCAAGATGTGATGGCAACCATAAATAATATGATATTAGGAAAACACAATCGCTTAAATATAAAAATTATACCACTTATCACCATAATATATGATGATATTATAATAGTGGTGTTATCAAACTTCAATTTATTTTAATTAAATGAGCCCCAAATAAAAATAGTATTCATGATGCCAAATAGTTAAAGAGGGTCAAGATATAGATGGCAATCATAAATAATTTCACCTAGTAACAAAAAATTGCTTTAATATAGAAATTAAACCATCAATCTTTATAATAGGTAAATAAGCTCCATATAAATCTAGCTTCCGTTATAAAACAAGTAATATATTGCACACCAGCAGTTCTGTATGGTTCATAGCTAATTTGTTATAATATAATTGATAGTAGATAAAACAACGATAAAATGTTTTCAAAGTAAAATCCCCATGATGCACCAAGCTACACAGACTAGTCACAATGATTCGTGTGTATGGATGCCTGACAAGCCAGAGGATTTGTTAGGATTGGGGTTCAGATGGGGCTCTGGCCGGTTTTTGGGTTCTGGACATTTTTTCTTAATACATTCCCTTGATGTGGAGAGATCCCATCCACCGTCAGAAACGGATCTAAGAAGATAGGGGATGTCCGTAGCCTCACAATTAATGTGCACATTGTCACAGCCAACCTAGAAGGAATCAGTCAGTCGAACAGTTATAAGTTTAGTGCAACATGTCATAAATCATACATTTGTACATATTTCTATTATATATTTGTACCTAATACCTTTTCAATTCAATTGATACTCATCTTCCGATTTGTTTCTTAAACTAAATATTAAACATCTTCACCTTGGCTATGAGACTTTCAGTGGCCCACATACAGATACACCAGCTGTCACCAGGGTTAGGAGGATTACATATGTTAGTCTTCCAGTTCCACTTTTGTTGCCCTTAAAAAAGAATTATCAGTATTCCTGGAAATCTCTACTTGAAGAGTTACTCACTACGGTAAACCGATTTAGTATCACCAGTTTGATCGAGTATCTTGGTGATGTCAGCCAATCAAAATAGACATAAAAACACACAAGTTTTTCCTACCATTACCGAAACCACTTCCTATCAACTCTACAGTCAATGTCACAGGGAAAAACTGAACCTGTGATTTGCCAAAAGCTCTGTTGATCATCATTCCAAGCCAACTCTTTGCACTGTCCTTCAGAGTTGTCTACAAGCTGAGCACAGACTCTGTGCGTTCGGTCATGGTTGCACTTGAAATCACCGTATCGAGGGCCTGTGAGAGCAGTCAAATGTCAAAATAATTTTCGTCTGTCCGCAAGTTGAAGGTCACTCAATCACTAAATTTAAAGGACAAGCTGACTCCCAAAGATGCCAATTTATGGATTTTACCTTCACCAGGACAAACGGCAAGATTACTGTTGTTCCAGCTGCTGATATTTTTTATCACGTTGGCAGTCTTAACTGAGCGGTTAGGATCTATCTTACTCAGCACATTGGCAACAGAGTTTGAAAATGAACGAACTGTACTGTTAATTGTCAATCCACTTTTAGATGCCATGTCTCAAGATCTTTGGATTTCAAGAAGGCTGCTGTGACCTCTTCATCGCTTCTACTAGTTTGAAACACTTATTATAAATTTTGCGATAGAAGTGAACAAGAGCATTATATGGGATAGTTTAAATGTGTAAACTGCATGATATTTACCTTCACCAGGGCATGGCTGAATTGGTGGGTATCCAGAAATACCTATGGTTATCATAGCACAGCCAAGGCCGATGAAAAAGTAAACTCCTGCCATGAAACTAAAACACTGAATTAACGACAACGTTTAAGAAATCAGGTTGCTAGAGTGGAGAACTTTAAACCCAACTGGTTACTCAATATAAAAATTGAAATTATCAATAAGAGTACATTTTACACTGAAGTTAGTTTCGAAGGCGAAATGTCTGTTCAGTTTATTTATCACTCCTTTTAATAATAAATCGGTGGACCTTCAGTACTTCCACACTCAAATTATCACATATATGATGAAGTTAGGTATTATATCGTCAGTCATCTCATCACACAAATCTCTTCAAATTATTATGATCACATTATAAAGTAAAGAAAGTAAGGACAGGATTGACATCGTTGATTGATAATGCTAATTTGTCAAATCGAGGCTTTAATACATTTCCTGCTCGAAGGTTCGATGCGATCTCGTCACAAAACGCGCTTTCACTATATCGCTCCACGCTCGACAAAATTTTTAAAAATTGTGACGTGAAAAGGACCTTACTTTACTTGGGTTACTTAGGTTGGGTTCCGAGCTAGAGTGCTACCAGGCCAAGAATGCCTTGCATCTCCACCGCCAAGTAGTAGCGCGTCAGAGGCACGTGCCACCGGCCCACTCCAGCATTAGAGTATGAAAGTAATTTAGATCGGTGTATTTTCGGAAGCTGATTTCGAATCATTCACCATGACGAGTAAAATAAAAATGATTTCATGGAGAGTTATGGGCAAACAACTATTTTGGTCACGTGATAATGCGTAGAGTGCGACGTTCTTAGCTTTAATAAACATTGCATCTCCATCAGCTTCACAAAATGGTATTGACTTTAGGTACGGGTAAGTAATCAGTAATACAATGTAATTTTTGTTTCATCTAAAACAAAATTATTAACCAATATTTTAAGTTTTAACACTTAAACACTCAAACTAACGTTTGACCAGCCATATGCACGCTTTACAAAAATGTTTAATACTTAATTAATTTCAAAGCTAAAGGAAAAGATTTTTGTTTCACCAACATTAACAATTTAACTGCAGTTTTGGAAGACGACGCCGTTTCGACGCGCCGCGCGAACTATCATTCCTATTTCTTCAATTTTACGAAGTAACAATCATTACTTTGCAAAGTTAAAAAGCTGCGATCTTTTATCATTTATTTGGCCTAAAATCAAACTATCAAAAGGTTCTATTTATTTTACTTTTGGCGCTCCTACTAAATCGCTCGCCCAAATTTTAAGAAAATTCTTGTGAAAAGGCCCTTTAGGCATGAAAGTGATCAAGATCGGTGTATTTTTGGACGCTGATTCTGAATCACCCCCTATGACGTAGGGTTAAAATGCTTCCCTGCAGAGTTATGGGCAAAAAACCGTTTTGGTCACGTGACAGGCTAGTAAAACGTGAATTCGATTATTTAGGGCTCGGGTTAGGGTTAGGGTTGTGGTTAAGATTATGGATAGCTTCGGGGTTATGGTTAGGGTTAGGGTTGGGATTAGGGTTTATGTAACACCGTTTTGTACGGCTGCAAAACCAAAAAAACCAAAGTCACGTGAAATGTTTGGGCGAGCGATTTAGTAAGAGCCTACTTTTGGAGATAAACATAAACCCCAAGTAGGGTTTGCTGAGGCCCAGTTGCGCATTTCGCCAATGTAACGAAATGTGGTTGAGAGAAGCATAATTGAGTGCGCGGCGCGGTACAGTAACACATTACGCTACAAATAAATCAGCAGTCATATCTATATTTATAAATAAAATATCACAAAAAACTTGTTTATACCCATCACTGGAATGAATATTTACAAAATGCTTCTTTGCCATATAAGGATGCAATCAAAAATGTTGTCCAGACATGGCAAACACCCTCTTTTTAAGTCGACTAGTAAAAAAAGAACCTTGCCATATTCATTATTAGTGTTCTATAAGCATTTAACAGCGTCCACCGTGGACTCCTTATTAATTATATTGTGAGCCTGATAGAGATGGTTTATGCAAATACTTTCGCCCGTGTCATCACTGAAGATGGTCTCAGCCCTCAGGTCTGTCTAAAGGATTCCTTATTCTGGTAAGAATAATGCAGGGAGACACTCTGTGCTCTGGTTTGAAAACTGGCTACGGGCCTAAATATTACATATCAATCAATTACAATTCATTATATATTATTATTAACATTACCAATATTAAGAACTATCGAAAATATTCAAGAAAGTATTCTCTAGCCAAAGGGCTCAATATTTAAATCTAAATCTTCAATATTGTCCGGTTTATATCGCAACTTGGGCCCTCTGTCCCCCCTTATCGAAATAACCGTTGTCTTTAATACCTCAAAGCGCAAGCGCTTTCTAAGATATGTAACTGAGTCTGAATAACACTGACCCGTTGGAGATTCCATCTTTTGTGCAAGCTTTTTAATCAAGCGTTGCGCTTCAACTCCCATGCCTCCTATTGTGGAGAAAACTAAAGGTGTAAAGGTAGCTTTTTCCACTTCTAGGACCCTTGCATTATATGCTCTTTTCTTCTCAGTCTCGTGAGCCGAATACATCATAGGAATTGGTTTAGCGGCGTTGGTTGGAGCAGGAGCGTGAAACACTCTTACATCAAAAAATGCTCTTTCCAACGCATTCCAAACTGATCTTGCTGATTCTCTGGTGCCCTATCTTTTCATAATTGTAATCGACTACATTATGAGGGTTAAGGTAAGGACTAGGACTATGGATTTACCCTCCAGCCCACAAGAAACCGAAGCCGTCCGGTCACTGATGCAAAAAATAATTACAGATAGTGTTGCAGAGGCCCAAGATTTCCTCAAGAGTCTGGAACTGGCGTCTGGCGACCAGCTCAGTTAGACTCCACCTAAACAAGGGGACCACATTTATGTATACATCCTGCGGGGGGAAATGGGGCTTGACGACAGCAAGGAGATAAACAATCTCATGCTTGTTGGACAGATGTGGAGAAAAATGGGTATCAAAGGGCCCGCTGGGGGAGGGGGTGTCTTGGGGGAGGAAGGCTCCATATTAGTAAAAATGCTTGTTTTGCTCTAGAAACATAATGTTGCATTTTTGGCGGGGGCGCCAACAAGCAACGTTACGCCACTGCAAACAACTGATTTAAAGAGTCAGGAGCAACATTTCGTGTTGAAAAAAAAAAGCGCCCCCCTATTCGCACCCACTCCCCTTTTGGCACCCTTCCCTAAAATTGAACAAATTAGGTCATTTCAGTGATATGCTGGTAAAATCTCTAAAAAAGTGTATTTCTAGAGCAAAACGAGCAGTTTTGCTAGTACCTCAGTTAAGTTTTTCAGAATTGTCCCATATTTAAACGACGATTTTGCCCCCCTAAGATGGTGCATTTTCTATAGACTACAATTCCATTCTATTCTACTATCATTCTACGATGATGAAGAAAAGTTGTATTTGCACTTATTCTATGTGTTTTGGTGCCCTCATTTGTAAATAATATTATACACTCTATTTTGTAAACTTGCATGCAATTGATTTTAGTGAACACTAAAGTACATCAGTAAAACGCTCTGAGTTAATATCAAAACAATATAATGACGAAATTCTCCGTTAGCATGACATTTGGAGGAGGAGAAGAAGACAGGTACAGTACTTGCTCTGAAGTGAGCAGCGTCCAGGATTTGGAGGACCCCCCTCCTAACATGCTTGGGACACTCCTATCCGAAATATACACTCAGGTTAGTACATGATATGCAATACACTCAGGCCTAGATTCTGTCTGAAATGATAACCGGCTTATCTGTCGGAATTATCTATTTAAGGTAAGATCATTCGTTAGTTTTGCTTTATGCTGCTTTGACATAGTCAATAGACATTAGACACACTATATAAGGACATCAGCTGCTGACGTTTTCTGACAAATGTGCAGTTAAGCACCAAGGATCATTTTGTGTAAGATTTTGTTTAAGATTTCAATTCTGTTATTGCTCTGGGTCCACTGCTGTCTTGAAAATATGACACGAAATTAGCCTAGAACTGTTGTGATGAAACACTTTTCGTAACATTGAGACAGGGGTGACACATTATGTCGCTCACGGATACAAAGGATACATTATACAATACAGTGACAAATATTTGATGTGATTCATGGATTTCAGTTTATTGACTTATGGCATGAGCTAGGGTAGAGCTGACATGATAATGTCTGGAGATGTCACTGCTACCTCGCCCTGTCATACAAAACAATATTGGAGCTATGCTGACTTAGCTACCCCACCAAAATCAAGTCTCAGAAATCCTTGCAGATTATTTAACTGAAGTGAATCAGATGCTCCCAACTTATGATAGAGTTCCTCGGTCGGGTAGTAAAGCAGAGCTGCAGCCTTCTGATCTGCCCTAAGAACTTTCTGACAAAGCTTTACAATGTAATAGCTTTGTTATCCTCCTTTGTTTAAGGAGCCTAATTGACACTCTGTGTATCTATTGACAACAGCTATTGTTTTTTCTTCTTGTCCTTTTTGCAGATCAGAAGAGTCTTCAATTAAGGGACAGCAGTTTTACTCCTAATTTGAGGCATTTGATAATTTGTATACTTCAATAGGGCAACAAAATTTGATTTTAAAATAACCACCTTTAATGAATGTAGTGAACACCAAGATACAGAATCACACCAGTCCACAGAGTGATCTACTGCTTCACATTACTCATAACAAATACCACACCTTCAGTACCAGTGGACATCAGGCGGCCTGCAAACACCCAGTTTTGACAGTAACGTATACGATGACTACGTGCTGCAGGACAACTGTTTGGTTAAGAGGGAACCAATATCCCATCTCACCAGGGAGCAACTAGAGGAGAAGAGTGAGTTTATGTTTTGGTTAATTTGTTAATTTGTTGATTAGTTGATTAGTTAATTCTTTAACAAAATTATTGGTTAATTAGATAATTTATAAGTTAATTTTGGATTATTGTTATTTGATGCTACTGGAGAGTGGAGGGCTGGACTCCCCGTCTTCTTATTATATATAAAATGAATTCTTGTCTGTAGCCTGTGTAGTATCTATTCACTAATCTGCCCACTTATTGATATTTGGGTAACAACAAGATACTACAAGTGGTGTTGTCAATTGTCTGTTGTTTGTCGACATTCCCTCTACTCGCATTCCTTGGTTAGTAGAAGATAGAAGTAGTAGTAGAATTAATGGTATTGATCGCTGCTACCATACTTACGTTTTGACAAGTAATTATTAGTGGTATCTGTTACTCAGCTTGTTACACCTCATAACAACACTAATTTGTAACGGTACCCTTGTAACCATGGTAACATTTTGTAAACAACGTGATAATTACCTGGAATGTTGCCCAGTTTCACACGTGCTTAGAATTATCCTTTTGTCACAAACCGTTTTTGGCAGATCCTCATTCTTCGTGTAAATCACCCAATATTAACACTCTTCAATACCGATATCGATATATGATATTGAGTACCCCATTCCTCCCCCTCCCCCTCCCCCTCCCCCTCCCCCCTCCCCCCTCCCCCCTCCCCCCTCCCCCCTCCCCCTCCCCCCTCCCCCCTCCCCCCTCCCCCACCCCCAACTGAACACCTGACTGTAAGACTCCTGGATCATTGCACCACATCCATATTCCTCCACAAATCATGCAAAACAGCCACTCAGTAATCTTGTAATCCTGCCTAACCTACCTAACCTACCCTGGATCAGTAATTTGTACACACTCAGCAAGAGAGAGAGAGAGACTGAGAGAGTTGGTCTGTGTGTTGAGTCAGCAACTCATGTTAACACGCGAAACATTTTCTGGTGTTGTCTCAATATACAAGTAACGTTAGTAACGTTAGTTATAATAAGGGTGGTGTATAACAGTAATGATCTCATTTGTGGTGTGTTTCTAGGGGAGGTACCTACAAGTGTGTTCATTAAGCATTTAGAGTTCTGTAAAACTGCAGTTACAATTATTGTCTTAGAGTATTTACTATTTTAGTAGTTACGATCGATATCAGATCTCTATCCCTACATGCTACCAAAATTTAAATCTCCAACTTTCTGCACAATGTTCTGGAATGTTAGTGGTAAAAAAATATATATAGATAAATATAAATAAAGAAATAAAATCAACTATTTAATTTTAGGAAAGTAAAATTAATTCCCTGGTTTCTTAAGTCAGCTTTAAAGTTGGAAAATCAAAGTATGTAACGTCTATACCAAACCGATTCAACACAGAGATTTACATGAGCATTGATTATACCCTGATAATATGCACATAGTATGCACATAATATTACACAATATGTTCACTGTGTTCCACTATCCACTGCACCACATCCAATAATACTAATAGGCTCCTTACGTGTATTTAATAACTCATGTGTGTGTTATTGTTGTACTCTTCGTTATTACAAGTGGTTAGAATAGAAACCCATTGAGCCAGGTAACATGACACTTAGTAAACAGACCCCCCCCCCCCCCCCCCGGTGTATATTATACAGCCAGTACTACTGTATTATAACACTACCTCACTACCTGCCCCCCCCCCCCCCCCCCCCGTGTATATTATACAGCCAGTACTACTGTATTATAACACTACCTCACTACCTGCCCCCCCCCCCCCCCCCCCCGGTGTATATTATACAACACACTACTACTGTATTATAACACTACCTCACTACCTGCCACCCCCCCCCCCCCCCCCCCCGGTGTATATTATACAACACACCACTACTACTGTATTATAACACTACCTCACTACCTGCCCCCCCCCCCCCCCGGTGTATATTATACAACACACTACCACTACTGTATTATAACACTACCTCACTACCTGCCTCCCCCCCCCCCCCCCCCCCGGTGTATATTATACAACACACCACTACTACTGTATTATAACACTACCTCACTACCCGCCCCCCCCCCCCCCCCCCCCCCGGTGTAGATTATACAACACACCACCTACTACTGTATTATAACACTACCTCACTACCTGCCCCCCCCCCCCCCCCCCCGGTGTATATTATACTACACACCACTTCTACTGTATTATAACACTACCTGCACTACCTGCCCCCCCCCCCCCCCCGGTGTATATTATACAACACACCACTACTACTGTATTATAACACTACCTCACTACCTGCCCCCCCCCCCCCCCCGGTGTATATTATACAACACACCACTACTACTGTATTATAACACTACCTCACTACCCCGCCCCCCCCCCGGTGTATATTATACAACACACTACTACTACTGTATTATAACACTTACCTCACTACCTGCCCCCCCCCCCCCCCCCCGTGTATATTATACAACACACCACCACTACTGTATTATAACACTACCTCACTACCCGCCCCCCCCCCCCCCCCCGGGTGTATATTATACAACACACTACTACTACTGTATTATAACACTACCTCACTACCTGCCCCCCCCCCCCCCCCCCCCGTGTATATTATACAACACACCACTACTACTGTATTATAACACTACCTCACTACCCGCCCCCCCCCCCCCGGTGTATATTATACAACACACTACTACTACTGTATTATAACACTACCTCACTACCTGCCCCCCCCCCCCCCCCCCGGTGTATATAATACTACACACCAGTACCACTACTGTATTATAACACTACCTCACTACCTGCCCCCCCCCCCCCCCCCCCCGTGTATATTATACTACACACTACTACTACTGTATTATAACACTACCTCACTACCTGCCCCCCCCCCGGTGTATATAATACTACACACCAGTACCACTACTGTATTATAACACTACCTCACTACCTGCCCCCCCCCCCCCCCCCCCGTGTATATTATACTACACACTACTACTACTGTATTATAACACTACCACACTACCTGCCCCCCCCCCCCCCCCCCGGTGTATATTATACTACACACCACCACTACTGTATTATAACACTACCTCACTACCTGCCCCCCCCCCCCCCCCCCCCCCGGTGTATATTATACAACACACTACTACTACTGTATTATAACACTACCACACTACCTGGTCTCAACATTCAATGTACACTTTAGTGGTCGCTGTGAACGCTGGTTTACAAACAGCTGGTACATGTCACGTGACCAGCTAGCAGCCTCTTTTGTTACAGCAGGTTTTGAACTTCTGCCAGGTCCTTTGTGTGACCAATACATTGGTTGAGTACTTATGTGATATCTAATTGATGATAATGTTACTTGGAGAGAACACTAACTATGTTAGTTGGTAAAACTACCCCCCAGTTATACTCCCCCACCTCCCCACCTCCCCCACCCTCCCCACTACACCCCCCACTTAGTGGGTTTAACTCTAAACATTTATATTTCTGAGCTCCAATATTCAGTATCAGCCAGGTTTTATTTTCAGTATAACTTCTCTAAACTCTGGAGGTAGCTGATATGTTACAGCTATATGTGTTAGCTATATACTATGGTTATGGTTATTTATTTATTGGGTAGCTCACAGATATTCCTTTGTTAAAAGCTTTGTGTCACTGCTGCCCCACTTCCTGAAAAAGCTTTGTCTCATCATGGGATACTTCATACTGCATTCAAGCAATACACTATGTGCACTACACTATGTGCACTACACTATATGCACTACACTATGTGCACTACACTATGTGCACTACACTATGTGCACTACACCATGTGCACTTCGTAAAGAAGACCTGGTGGCTGCACTCTGTGAACTATTGAAAGTACTAGATTTTGACTTTCGACAAATTGTTTAAGCTTGTGCCACTTACTGGATACTGTATACTGGACATTATGTAATATTATATAAAAAATATTATAAAGTTATAATATTATATAAAAATTATTATAAAGTTATAATATTAAATAAGAATGTGGATCTAGCTAACAGGGTAGTAACAGTGTACTGGGTACGACGAGGAATTTAAAAGTGTATAATATTGGCTGCTCTAAGTGGAAAGGATGGTCTCGGTCATGGATCAGATAGTAAGCATTATGGAGGCCATGACACTACCTCACTACCTGGTCACATGACACTACCTCACTACCTGGTCACATGACACTACCTCACTACCTGGTCACATGACACTACCTCACTACCTGGTCGCATGACACTACCTCACTACCTGGTCACATGACACTACCTCACTACCTGGTCACATGACACTACCTCACTACCTGGTCACATGACACTACCTCACTACCTGGTCACATGACACTACCTCACTACCTGGTCACATGACACTACCTCACTACCTGGTCACATGACACTACCTCACTACCTGGTCACATGACACTACCTCACTACCTGGTCACATGACACTACCTCACTACCTGGTCACATGACACTACCTCACTACCTGGTAACATGACACTACCTCACTACCTGGTCACATGACACTACCTCACTACCTGATAACATGACACTACCTCACTACCTGGTCACATGACACTACCTCACTACCTGGTCACATGACACTACCTCACTACCTGGTCACATGACACTACCTCACTACCTGGTCACATGACACTACCTCACTACCTGGTCACATGACAGTACCTCACTACCTGGTCACATGACACTACCTCACTACCTGGTCACATGACACTACCTCACTACCTGGTCACATGACACTACCTCACTACCTGGTCGCATGACCAGTAGGATCCCTTGTAACTGGTATGGTTACTATGGTAACCGGTATCTTGTTTTTAAAACAGGTCCTGCTGATCTTTACCTGATATCAGGGCAGTAACAACTAGATACTACTACTGGATCATGTGACAACCAGGCTACCCCAACCCCCGTCCTGGCTACCCCAACCCCGTCCTGGTTACCCCAACCCCCGTCCTGGTTACCCCAACCCACGTCTTGGTTACCCCAACCCCCGTCTTGGTTACCCCAACCCCCGTCCTGGCTACCCCAACCCCGTCTTGGTTACCCCAACCCCCGTCTTGGTTACCTCAACCCCCGTCCTGGTTATCCCAACCCCGTCCTGGTTACCCCAACCCCCGTCTTGGTTACCCCAACACCCGTCTTGGTTACCCCAACCCCCGTCTTGGTTACCCCAACCCCCGTCTTGGTTACCCCAACACCCGTCTTGGTTACCCCAACCCCCGTCCTGGCTACCCCAACCCCCGTCCTGGCTACCCCAACCCCGTCCTGGTTACCCCAACCCCCGTCCTGGTTACCCCAACCCACGTCTTGGTTACCCCAACCCCCGTCTTGGTTACCCCAACCCCCGTCCTGGCTACCCAACCCCCGTCCTGGTTATCCCAACCCCGTCCTGGTTACCCCAACCCCCGTCTTGGTTACCCCAACCCCCGTCTTGGTTACCCCAACCCCCGTCTTGGTTACCCCAACACCCGTCTTGGTTATCCCAACCCCGTCCTGGTTACCCCAACCCCCGTCTTGGTTACCCCAACCCCCGTCTTGGTTACCCCAACACCCGTCTTGGTTATCCCAACCCCGTCCTGGTTACCCCAACCCCCGTCTTGGTTACCCCAACCCCCGTCCTGGTTATCCCAACCCCGTCCTGGTTACCCCAACCCCCGTCTTGGTTACCCCAACCCCCGTCTTGGTTACCCCAACACCCGTCTTGGTTATCCCAACCCCGTCCTGGTTACCCCAACCCCCGTCTTGGTTACCCCAACCCCCGTCTTGGTTACCCCAACCCCGTCTTGGTTACCCCAACCCCCGTCTTGGTTACCCCAACCCCCGTCTTGGTTACCCCAACCCCCGTCTTGGTTACCCCAACCCCCGTCTTGGTTACCCCAACCCCGTCCTGGCTACCCCAACACCCGTCTTGGTTATCCCAACCCCGTCCTGGTTACCCCAACTCCCGTCTTGGTTACCCCAACCCCCGTCTTGGTTACCCCAACCCCCGTCTTGGTTACCCCAACCCCCGTCTTGGTTACCCCAACCCCCGTCTTGGTTACCCCAACCCCCGTCTTGGTTACCCCAACCCCCGTCTTGGTTACCCCAACCCCCGTCTTGGTTACCCCAACACCCGTCTTGGTTATCCCAACCCCGTCCTGGTTACCCCAACCCCCGTCTTGGTTACCCCAACCCCCGTCTTGGTTACCCCAACCCCCGTCTTGGTTACCCCAACCCCCGTCCTGGTCACCCCACCCCCGTCCTGGCTACCCCAACCCCCGTCCTGGTTACCCCAACCCCCGTCCTGGCTACCCCAACCCACGTTTTGGCTACCCCAACCCACGTCTTGGTTACCCCAACCCCCCTGGCTGGCCTGATCCCAATTATTCTCCAATAAAACCACAAAAGACCCAAAAACCACAATAGAGTAATGAGTATAGACCCATATATATTTTACCAGTTTGTACCGGTTTGTACCAGTGTTGTGTTGTACAATTTGTGAGGTGGGCTGTACTGTATTGACTCGTGACGTATAATATACATTGTGTACATTCTGTTCTTATTAGATGTGGACTCTAGATCTGAGTCTCGCAGCAATGTATAATTGTTAGCAGAATGAACGTTAACTGAGTACATTTAGTTGGCATGTAGTGCTCCTCAATCAATCAATATAGTAATATGGACATTGTAACTACAGCTGATAGTGAAGGAGACAGCTGAGAGTGAAAGAGACATCTGAGAGTGAAAGAGACAGCTGAGAGTGAAATAGACAGCTGAGCGTGAAATAGACATCTGAGAGTGAAATAGACAGCTGAGCGTGAAAGAGACATCTGAGAGTGAAAGAGACATCTGAGAGTGAAAGAGACAGCTGAGAGTGAAATAGACAGCTGAGCGTGAAAGAGACATCTGAGAGTGAAAGAGACATCTGAGAGTGAAAGAGACATCTGAGAGTGAAAGAGACAGCTGAGAGTGAAAGAGACAGCTGAGAGTGAAATAGACAGCTGAGCGTGAAATAGACATCTGAGAGTGAAATAGACAGCTGAGCGTGAAAGAGACATATGAGAGTGAAAGAGACATCTGAGAGTGAAAGAGACAGCTGAGAGTGAAATAGACAGCTGAGCGTGAAAGAGACATCTGAGAGTGAAAGAGACATCTGAGAGTGAAAGAGACATCTGAGAGTGAAAGAGACATCTGAGAGTGAAAGAGACAGCTGAGAGTGAAATAGACAGCTGAGCGTGAAAGAGACATCTGAGAGTGAAAGAGACATCTGAGAGTGAAAGAGACATCTGAGAGTGAAAGAGACAGCTGAGAGTGAAATAGACAGCTGAGCGTGAAAGAGACATCTGAGAGTGAAAGAGACATCTGAGAGTGAAAGAGACAGCTGAGAGTGAAAGAGACAGCTGAGAGTGAAATAGACAGCTCAGCGTGAAAGAGACAGCCGAAAGTGAAGGAGACAGCTGGCTAACCAAATATGGTGTAAATGGTGTGTTCCCCTAGTCTGCAAGCACACACAATTACTTTCTCGTAAAACTGTTTCAAGACGTTGAGAGTGTGTGATGTGTGTCAGCATCAGTTCACATGAGAGAATCTTGGTTTTGTTTGTAAATTTAAGAGCGAATTTCTCAGAAATGAATTGTATGGATCCGTACGTGGTATTAATATTGCGGTATGCCAGAATTTACAGTGGTATTGTCACGTGGTATTGGCACGTGGTATTGGCACGTGGTATTTTGCACGTGGTATTGGGACGTGGTATTGGCACGTGGTATTGGCACGTGGTATTTTGCACGTGGTATTGGGACGTGGTATTGGCACGTGGTATTGGCACGTGGTATTGGCACGTGGTATTGGCACGTGGTATTGGCACGTGGTATTCGCACGTGGTATTGGCACGTGGTATTGTCACGTGGTATTGGCACGTGGTATTGTCACGTGGTATTGGGACGTGGTATTGGGACGTGGTATTGGCACGTGGTATTGGGACGTGGTATTGGGACGTGGTATTGTCACGTGGTATTGGCACGTGGTATTGGCACGTGGTATTGGCACGTGGTATTGGCACGTGGTATTCGCACGTGGTATTGGCACGTGGTATTGGCACGTGGTATTGGCACGTGGTATTGGCACGTGGTATTGGCACGTGGTATTGTCACGTGGTATTGGCACGTGGTATTGGCACGTGGTATTGGCACGTGGTATTGGCACGTGGTATTGTCACGTGGTATTGGCACGTGGTATTGGCACGTGGTATTGGCACGTGGTATTGGCACGTGGTATTGGCACGTGGTATTGGCACGTGGTATTGGCACGTGGTATTGGCACGTGGTATTGGTACGTGGTATTGGCACGTGGTATTGGCACGTGGTATTGGCACGTGGTATTGGCACGTGGTATTGGCACGTGGTATTGGCACGTGGTATTGGCACGTGGTATTGGCACGTGGTATTGGCACGTGGTATTGGCACGTGGTATTGGCACGTGGTATTGGCACGTGGTATTGGCACGTGGTATTGGCACGGTAATACCACATTACCGTTCACTGTCTTTTATTCCTAATAATTGGGTAACCGTAAAACATAATCATATCATTTATGGGATAAAAGCTCCATAATACGTTGTGACAGAACAGAATGCTAAACTCGACGGATCTTGATATTTAGAAGCGAAACCTGACAGCTTGGAATTGGTTCATTTAGCCAATATCATGTGACAATACCACGTGACAATGTTAACTTCTCGCTGAACTGAAAGTCCAAATTTCTAAATATCCCAGCAACTTTAAAGACTTTGTGGCATTTTACGGGCTACTCAAAATGAACCATTTCTTGTAACAGAGAGTCTCTGTACCTTTGAAGTCAATGGTATAACGTTACCATTACGCCACTGTACGGACCTGTACATATCGATTGTATACCATTTACAATTTACATATATTTACATATTATTATATTATCCAATATATTGCCGTGCTACTTACAGGCTCAGGTTTAAATTTAAATACTCAGTTTGTATGATATTACCAGCGTATATTAGTATATTATGATAAGGTTGATATACACAATACGTTACGTGGACGTTAGGTCACTGAGTCTCCAGTTACTATGGTAGTTACTACGATAGTTACTTTTGTTACCAGTTACTATGGTAGTTACTATGGTTACCAGATACCAAGGTAGTATTACTACAATTCACCGTAGTGATGTTGTGAAATAAATCTGTACGAAACTAACTTTATATTTATAAACACCTGCTCCTATGATGGATGCAACTATATGTAATGGAAACTCCAGCTCCCTTCTCCTCCGAGAGTATGTATTTAGCGCACTGTTCCGCATATTATAACTTAAGTAGAAACAGAAAAGTCTGGTAAACAAACAGAAAATCAATAGCTTCTTGAGAATAATTACTTAGAATAGAATAATAAAAACATCAAGATGTCAAATAGTTGTACACAATTTTGGAAACCTCCTTGAACTAAAATACGTGTAATGATACTTCAACAAAATGTCACCTAAAATAGACGAATAAGTCATGAGATCATATCAAATCTGTATCTCTCATTTCTCCTTATATTAATTAAAAATCAAAATATATTTTATGGTCAAATTACAGTTTTAGTTGAAAACATTCAAAATAACACAATAACAGTCCCAGTCCATAGATTTCACGTGACAAGTACACTTCACGATTCATCACAAAGTTCCTGTTCCTCGTGCTCCTCTCTGAAGTGCTCCACCAGTCCCACTGTCACGTTCACCCCTACAAACTTCTCTGAAAGTATATTGGTTAGAGTGATACTTCAAGTGCTTTACCAAAGATGGTCCCCAAACAAACTGAGATTAATGAAAGATCAAATTAGTTTATATTTCTGTCATCAACATTTTATCAAAATTCTTCATTATATAACCTCACGTTGCAACATGCATATACTTTAATTACCCTTTATAAACCGAGAATACCAGAAAATAAGACTAAATAACGTACCCATCATGATCCAACTGTTAGTTAGCTGAAGATAGAGCTGGTTTGTGAAGATCCTGTTAAGATAAGGAGAAGTGAAGAGGACGTCCCACCTACTGACTGTATCTAGCCTTCTTCCTTTCTCCAGGAGAGATAGGGTAGCATTATGGGCCCTAGAAACTTCATCTAGTTCACTTTCAGTGGTGTTCAGTTTCAGCTCAGATTCCTGAAGCCTGGCCTTACTTTCTGTAAGATCAGAGAGGGTAGCATTATGGGCACTAGAAACTTCATCTAGTTCACTTTCAGTAGTGTTCAGTTTCAGCTCAGATTCCTGAAGCCTGGCATTACTTTCTGTAAGATCAGAGAGGGTAGCATTATGGGCCCTAGAAACTTCATCTAGTTCACTTTCAGTGATGTCCAGTTCTGTCAGAGTTTCATTTAGCCTTGCCCTAGTGTTTGTGAGTTCCACAATTGTGTCATTCAAGGTTTTCCAGACCTCCTGTTGTTTGAGCTCTGTTTTGTTCAGTCTTATCTCAATCAATTTCAGTGCTGTCTGAGTTTTGTTAAGGTTGGCCTCTAGATCTACGACACAGTTTGCTGGTGTAAACACTGTTACATTCCCGTACCTTTGCTTGGTCAGTACCTCTTCCCATTTCAGTACCCTACTCTCATACTCCTCCTCCAAAGTAGAGCACATACCTGCTTCAGTCATCTCCCTTATCTGAGAGGAGCTCAGCTCTTCAGCAAACAAGTTTAGTTTATGCAGACGTCCACCGAAAGTGTGACTTGAACTCTTAGAGTCCTGATGCTGATTCCCTAAAGTGATACGGCCACTCAACTCGATGTTATCATTTCCGGCAGATATGCTCCCCACCTCATCTCCATCAAAATACACCCTCTGTGTTCCACCAGCAGCCCAAGAAAGGCAATAGTGGAACCAGCCTTCTGTTTGAGGCAGCTTGCTTTCCAGACGTACGCTTTTTGATGCTACCCGAGCATAGGAGCCACTTTCGATATTACCACTCCTGCTGTGGAACACTATTGACCTTGCTCCCCGTGGTTTTGTCATCCAATAACAAAGAGTAAAAGATCGGCCAACAGAAATAGGACTACTCGGTGTAAACTGTACATAGTCACTAGTTGTGGCACCAAAGGAAAGAGCTTTCAACCTAGCTGCTTCACCAGCTGTCAGAGTCGGCTCTAGCAGAACGAATACAAAAAACAGGGCTATCATTTCCTACTTACCTAATGCTTAACGAACAAATAATTAATCAGCTGAAAGTTGGAAGGATAGCTCCGCAATGATAAAAGTGGTCGTTGGTAGTTCTTATATACCAGGCTCAGTACGTATTACTATGGGTTGAAGAGTCATATGGTCCCAGTAAGATATCTTAAAGTATAATTACAGACGAAGTGTGCCAAACGTTACCCTGAACGTTATTTTACTGTATTAGATCATGATGAGATAATGCAAGCATAATGCTCAGATGTAGGGTTTTTGTGGAGATTAAAAGTATGATATATTATGAGTACTTATAAAGTTCTAATGAAAACAAAGTGAAAATAGTTCCAGGTCTTCGGACGTCTTACTAGTTGAGCTACTAAATATTCTTACCTCATAGTAACAAGAGTTACCTGTCATTAGAACAACACATATAGACTCTTTTAAATATCACTGTCACGGGGGAGGTTGTGAACGTTTTTTCCCGGGATTTGTGCCAATAACTTAAACTTGGCATCGTGTCAAGTGTAAACGTGGGAAAGTTGTGTGCTCATCATATTTTTTTACCACAATGAAAGAAGAATGAGTGAAAATCTATGTATCGCTTTAAGGTTACAAAATTACCAGCATCTTTTTGATTTTATGGCGCAGCAAAAGTGCTGTTTCAGCAGCCAACGCTACTAGTTACCATAGTTACACTACTAGTTACCATGGTAACACAACGCGTCTTGCAGCTCTCTTATTCTACCAGATTGAGCAATATTATAATTGAGAAATAGTTTCTCTCTCGTCGTATCCATAATAGACAATGCACCTGCGTCCTGCGTCCTGTATAACGTAATTATTGATTATATCACAATCTAAACAATTAGAAATTACATTTCTCAATATTTCGCTCGGATATTGTAAAGACTGTAAAGAGCTCTTGAAACATTTGATATGCATATTGCATATGCTCGCAGCTGGTTTTTCGTGGTCGATTTAATGCAAGAAATTTCAATATACATATTATACGTTCTGTGCACATGGTAATATTTCACAACACCAAAACTAGTCACAACATGGTATAAACGTGTAAACGTGTGGTTACTGGTAGGGAGGTTTAACACGTGACATTGAAACTGGGTCACCCCCCCCCCCCCCCCCATGGCCCATAAGGTTCTTATTAAAACAACGCTGGAAGCTGCTTGGTTAATGACTGTCATGTGACTGAGAAAGTTCACCAGTATCTAGATTTATAAGACTATGCGTAGTGTTTAGTGTTTATACCTGATCGTAAGTTAACAGTCTTCTCTTTAGAATATGAATAGAGAAGAGTGAGTAGCAGGGTATGTAATCACGGTGTGGATTTCGGTTTTTAGTGCAATGAATAGGTATGCACTATACATTATACAATATGTATTATGTACAACTAAACTACGAATGTTCATTTTTACAACTCCACCTCACACGATCAATAAGATTTAGTTGTGTGAATACTGTGTTACTGTTAAACTTCACAATACGAACATTTCACTCAACATTAAGGGGCTCTGATTGGTTACAATGTAGTCACGTGGTGTTAACAGTGTCTTCTGATTGGCTGGCACGCTTCAATTAAATCCCTTTTTGTTTCCCACCTGGTCAATCATGGCAAGTTTGATCTGCGAACCGTGACGCACATTGTTCGCATACGGTGGCGTTAAATCTAAATCTTTAGCTACGTCTCAACATATCACAATCATGCAATATTATTGTACTACGACAATCTATACTAATAATCTCAATAAATTTGTCTGTCTGTCTGTCTGTCTGTCTGTCTGTCTGTCTGTCTGTCTGTCTGTCTGTCTGTCTGTCTGTCTGTCTGTCTGTCTGTCTGTCTGTCTGTCTGTCTGTCTGTCTGTCTGTCTGTCTGTCTGTCTGTCTGTCTGTCTGTCTGTCTGTCTGTCTGTCTGTCTGTCTGTCTGTCTGTCTGTCTGTCTGTCTGTCTGTCTGTCTGTCTGTCTGTCTGTCTGTCTGTCTGTCTGTCTGTCTGTCTGTCTGTCTGTCTGTCTGTCTGTCTGTCTGTCTGTCTGTCTGTCTGTCTGTCTGTCTGTCTGTCTGTCTGTCTGTCTGTCTGTCTGTCTGTCTGTCTGTCTGTCTGTCTGTCTGTCTGTCTGTCTGTCTGTCTGTCTGTCTGTCTGTCTGTCTGTAATTTACGAATGATTAAATCAAGAAAACGGTAAGAGATATGGGACTGGTTTTTTCGGTATAGTGTCGACAAAACTCTGACGAAGCCAAATGATTAAGGTTTTTCAAATCGGTCTGTGGTAAGTGGTTTAATTGATCATTTTGTGACCCAAATGTGATACTAAAGTGTCTCACGTACTCTCCCTCTCTCCCATTCTCGCTCTCTTCCCCCAAAACAGATTTGCTACATAATTAGGTAATTTGGCAGGGGACCTCAAGATTGCCTATCAAGTATTACTATTAGATACGTGAGGGCCGAGGGGCATTCAGAATTAAATTGCGGTGTGTTTGGACTGAGCGAGTTCATACTTTCGCACCGTTTTAACTACGACTATGAAATGCATTTTTAGAATGTAATAGGCAGGTTTATACTTCTGCATTTCAACTGCGATAGTGAAGTCCTGGCCGTATGCACAGGTTACACTAGTATAAATTATAAATCTATAGGTGTTCAGATCAATAAGTTACAATTGAGAAATTGGCCTCATTTTTACTCATCTTGTTAATGACTTACACCCGTTATTAATGTTTGTATTTCAATGTAAGAACTTAATGTTTTAGCTTATACAATATCACTCAATATTATTAAGTTGATGATAATATTCCATGTTGGACGTTGGTATTAATACTTAAATTAAACAATAAACGTGGGGGAGCTTTTACCCAGCATGTGTTCATTTTCATCCCCATCGCGTGTGAGAACATCGCGTGTGTTCATTTCAAACTCCTCCGCATGCAGTTCTCAACTCGACCGCATGCAACTGAAAACGTGACCTCCCACATCCAATACACAGTCTATAACACAGACGTGCAGTCCTGTGTACTAATTTTAAATTTACACGGCGGGGGAAGTGTCTGGGTGTGAGTAGCCCAGACAATGGGATATTTTTAATGTCTTTGTGTTTACCCAATGAGATCTTGGCAGCTGCTCTTGCTAGGTATTTCATCTTGTGGAATTTAGATGTTAGAGAATTTAGATGTTGGAGTAGTGTTAATATCTACCCTGCATGTTTAGTAATTAGTAGTCTGTACCTGTAACACTGTAACATTGTAACACTGTGACACTGTAACACTGTAACACTGTAACACTGTAACACTGTAACACTGTGACACTGCAACACTGTAACACTGTAACACTGTAACACTGTAACACTGCACTGTAACACTGTAACACTTCAGGTGTGGAGGAAATACAGACGATCATAAAGGATTTGAAGTTGAGAACAAAGGAACAAAGCACAAAACTCGTCCACCTTTTGAAGAGACGTGACCAGGTAATACTAAACAGTCAACAGTACACATTACACATTACACATTACACATTACACATTACACATTACACATTACACATTACACATTACACATTACACATTACACATTACACATTACACATTACACATTACACATTACACATTACACATTACACATTACACATTACACATTACACATTACACATTACACATTACACATTACACATTACACATTACACATTACACATTACACATTTCACATGTACACATTTCACATTACACATTACACATGTACACATTACACATTACACATTACACATTACACATTACACATCACACATTACACATTACACATTACACACTACACATTACACATTACACATTACACATTACACATTACACATTACACATTACACATTACACATTACACATTACACATTACACATTACACATTACACATTACACATTACACATTACACATTACACATTACACATTACACATTACACAATGTTAAACACATTGTCACAGGATGGTCATAACCCCAATAATATTATAAAGAGAAAAGTTAGATAAAAATGTACAATATATATGAGGTTACAATAATGTTTTTTCTGCTTTAGAATACTATACTCTTTTAGAATACATATATCACCTTTACCTTGTACATATAATCGCATTTTGAGTATTTTCCCAGGCGTCATGTTATATTGTTAACACACCTTGCTATAATATACTAATTGCAACAATAAAACTGTTTCTAAATGAATGAGAGGAGCACCACACCCTTGAGAAACTAATAAACTTAAGTATCAGCTCATAACACTGCACAATGTGCTGTATAAGGGATAAGTGGGCGCTCTAATCCCATTTTAGTGAAAAGCATTTCAGTAAGCTGCACTCACTGCATCAGTTGTGATATTGCCAGTTAACAGTTACCTCTGAAACTTTTCAGTAGTTGCAAATTTTCAAAATGTGGAGTGACTTTATCTTTACAACACAACTTGTCAGGGCAAGACCAGACAGAAGAGAGGGTATGCGCTTCTCACTAGACTTCTTCAGACTGTCTTCAGGAAAAGCAAAAGTGAGTTTAATAAATTGAACCCTTTAAACCACAGCACTATGTTAGGTTCAACTTGTCTTTAGTATATGCTTCGACCAACTGGCTACTGTCTTCTGAACTAACCTTGTAGTATTAGATCTTGGTTATCGGTCAAGAATGAACAATTCGAAATTATAAATGTTAGTAATTAGCTAACCAGTAAATTTGAGCCAGGAATGATTAATCAGCAATGACCTGAGCCACTGGCGCCAATCGTTTAGTAATTATCATTAGTCCTTTTCGAGTAGGAGTGGAATTATACTCGTACGGTTCACCATCAAACAATGGCAACGACACAATTTACGTGTCAATGATTACAATCGTATAACTGTAACGCGCTGCAACATAATTCTAACAAACCAAAATAATAAAGTGCTTACTTTGACAACGCGCGCCTTGCGACCGCGCGCAAGCTAGCGATCCAAGGCTGAAAATGAGCTAGCTATCTGCTGCAACACGATACATGCTATACAAGCATGGCACTGGTCGATCAGTTTTGAGATGATCTATTTCACTACAAATTTCAAAATTCATTTCAACACATATTTTGGTCTCGAATCTAAAATAGAGAATCACGGGTGTCTACTGTAAGAATTTTGGTTCTTTATTTTCAGCCGTGAGCAGTGTAATTAAACCTTGTTTATTCCCAACTGATCACTATAATGAACTGTAACCCAGGTAACTGTAACCCAGGTAACTGTAACCCAGGTAACTGTAACCCAGGTAACTTATTACTACTTACTGTAACTCAGGTAACGGTATCCCGTCCAGACTGAAGTTCTGTATGCCAGCCCCCAGTGATGCTCGCCAGTTTAACAACTGGCTGGACGCTCTGAGAGCGGTTGCCCAGCTGGCCCCCTACGGTATAGATCCTATCTGGAGACCTGAGGTGTGGTTAGGGTGTGCTGAACACAATTACCGAGGTAACCATGGTAACCTGATTCTACATACTACTGAAACTACATCATTTAAATAAGTAATTATCCGTCTATCACTGAAACAATCGAATTTATGAGCATCTTATAGTGGAAGTTCTCCTGTAACTATTGATCAAACGTTCATTTGATAATTGATTATAACTCTCTAGATGTGGAGTGGTCCTCAGTCTTGAAGTTCGCTTTCAACGAGAAGCTCAACCCTGATGATCATATGTTGGGAGTTCAGATTGTAAAGGTGAGCTAATGAGCCCCCCCCCCTGTAAAGGTGAGCTGTGAGCTAATGCCCCCCCCTCCCCCCCCCCCCCCCCCCCCTGTAAAGGTGAGCCGTGAGATAATGAGCCCCCCTCCCCCCGAAAATATCGGGGATTGTCCCCCTTATCCTACACCCTCGAGAGTAGCAAGTGGTAAAAGATGAAGAAAGCAAATAATTGAGTCCCTCTTCTCCTCTAATATCGCCCAATAATCACATGTTTCCTTCTCAGGATCTCTACAGAACTGGTTCATGCAGACTTCTCTCCCCCAGTGACGACAGAGCCGCTCTTAAACGAGTCCTGCTCGGTTACGCTAGGTGGAATAAGGAAGTGGGGTACTGCCAGGTAAATATGAGTTAAAAGGTGTGGATATATTGTCTAACAGGTTCTATTTTCAAGTTGCTTCACAAACTAAACTATGCTGTGATACTGTAGATAAAGATTTCCAATCTCAATAAATCAAGCGCTTTACCAACTTATCTCACCCCAGGGTTTCAACATCATAACAGCAGTACTACTAAAAGTACTAAACAACAACGAAGCAGCTGCTCTGAAGGTGATGATACAAGTGGTTGAGAACCTGCTCCCAGAACACTACTTCAACAACAACTTGGTGGCTCTCAGTGTGGATCTGGCCGTGTTCAGGGAGCTGCTCAGGGTACACGTGCCCAGGCTGTGGGCCCATATCACTAAGTTACAGGGCCCTGTTAGTAAGGACCCGGCTAAAAGTGATATTACTTACGAGCCTCCTCTCACTAACGTCTTCACTATGCAGTGGTTCCTCACGCTATTCGCTACTTGTCTTCCAAACGAGGTACATTCCCTACTTCACATTCACGATACTTCTTATATATATAGGTATATTTCCTACTTCACGGTACAATTTATTTTACAAATGGGTCATCTTGTTACTGGTCCTGCTTAAACATATTGAATAAAGTTTGAAAATGGAAGTACCTAATGAAAAACAAACTCTGCTAAAACTACGCAACTGCAGATAGCACTGAAAGTATGGGACCTGATATTCCTGTACGGAGCGGAAGTGTTATTCAGAGTAGCTCTAGCGATCTGGAGTAGTCTCCAGACTGTAGTTCTCACAACCCACACCTGCGATGAGTTCTACATGCAAATGAGCACCGCTGTACTGGATATCCGACAAGGTTTGTCTTTTGTCAATAACTTAATTAGTGGTACTACATGAGATATGATATTGTTCACAAATCTCCTCTGTACGACAATATGCGGGATAAGAATTAAACCACCCTGCAGGACGACACATCACGTGCGAAGAACTGATGAAGAAGATCCACTCCATCCCGCCGCTGTCCCAGGAGAAACTACAAGAGTTCAGGGAGGAGATAATGTACAACATCCAGCCGCCCAACCTGGGACTTTACGCCAAGGAGCAGGATGTCCACTGTATGTCCCTTCTTCTCAACAGTAACCCGTAAGTTATAAACAGTAACCCGTAAGTTATAAACAGTAACCGTAAGTTATAAACAGTAACCCGTAAGTTATAAAGATGTAACCCGTAAGTTATAAACATGTAACCCGTTAGTTATGAACATGTAACCCGTAAGTTATAAACAGTAACCCGTAAGTCATAAACAGTAACCTGTAAGTCATAAACAGTAACCTGTAAGTTATAAACAGTAACCCGTAAGTTATAAACATGTAACCCGTAAGTTATAAACAGTAACCCGTAAGTCATAAACAGTAACCCGTAAGTCATAAACAGTAACCTGTAAGTCATAAACAGTAACCTGTAAGTCATAAACAGTAACCTGTAAGTTATAAACAGTAACCCGTAAGTTATAAACATGTAACCCGTAAGTTATAAACAGTAACCCGTAAGTTATAAACATGTAACCCGTAAGTTATAAACAGGTAACCCGTAAGTTATAAACATGTAACCCGTAAGTTATAAACATATAACCCGTAAGTTATAAACAGTAACCCATAAGTTATAAACAGTAACCCGTAAGTTATAAACATGTAACCCGTAAGTCATAAACAGTAACCTGTAAGTTATAAACATGTAACCCGTACGTCATAAACAGTAACCCGTAAGTGATAAACAGTAACCTGTAAGTAATAAACAGTAACCTGTAAGTTATTAACATGTAACCCGTAAGTTATAAACAGTAACCCGTAAGTTATAAACAGTAACCCGTTAGTTATAAACATGTAACCCGTAAGTTATAAACAGTAACCCGTAAGTTATAAACAGTAACCCTTTAGTTATAAACAGTAACCCGTAAGTTATAAACAGTAACCATTTAGTTATAAACAGTAACCCGTAAGTTATAAACAGTAACCCGTAAGTTATAAACATGTAACCCGTAAGTCATAAACAGTAACCTGTAAGTTATAAACAGTAACCCGTAAGTTATAAACAGTAACCCGTAAGTTATAAACATGTAACCCGTAAGTTATAAACATGTAACCCGTTAGTTATGAACATGTAACCCGTAAGTTATAAACAGTAACCCGTAAGTTATAAACAGTAACCCGTAAGTTATAAACAGTAACCCGTAAGTTATAAACAGTAACCCGTAAGTTATAAACAATAAACATGTTATTGCCGCAGTTGCATGCCATTTTATTTTATAAGTTGCAAACATACCGTAAATTTTTAGATTTAACCCTATCAAAAAAAGATTGGGCGACATCTGTCCGACAGCGACATCTATCCGACAGCCGTATTAAGGATTTTGGACAGATGTCGCTGTCGGACAGATGTCGCTGTCGGACAGATGTCGCTGTCGGACAGATGTCGCTGTCGGACAGATGTCGCTGTCGGACAGGAGTCGTGTTACCTCAAAAGAATCAACAATTTGAAAACAAATTATGTTAATAATTAACAGATTATTGAACTGAGTATGTAACATGTTAATTAATAATTAACAGATTATTGAACTGAGTATGTAACAGGAAAGAAGTAATACCGACAAAGCCGGAGCACAGCAAACCGTCACTCCGGGAGACGATAAAGAAGAGAGAGGTAGAAGTGACGTCACGGGACATCCAGACGCTCCTGGCAGACTACCGCAACAAGACCAAGAAACAGAAACTGAAGACCAAACAACCGGGGCCCGCCACTGCCATCAGGTGTGTTCCTGACCTGGGACTCCGCCGGAAACTCCCGGAGAAAGCCTTCAGTTTCGACACAGCAGAGCTAAGCACGAGGCAGATCCTACTACAACAAGTGTCAGGATTCAGTCCGTCTCAACGACCCAACACCCCCAGAAAGGCCTCCTTCCCCGCCTTGAACCACATGAGGAACGGTACTCCCACTAGTAGGAAGTGCCTGTTCTCAGACCAGGAGCCCGAGTCTCCCACCACAGCTAGCACCAATAACTCCTCCAGCAGCTTCTCCCTCGTCACAGACGCACTAGCTCACATCAGGATTAGCAGGATTCCTGATACCCAGACAGAGGAGTTCTGTAACTCCGGCTACTCCCTTCAGCGCCCTATCCCTGAGAAACAACCTTCCGGTTAGTCGGTCTAATCCTAGAATAGATATACTTCATTTTATCATATTCTCTTCGTTTGATTTAGCTTAAGAAAGTGTCGCAAATTTGCAGCATGTTAAACTTTATCTTTCGTAATTTCGTAATTTTACAGGGATTCAAGCTCAAACACAGTCCTATAACCAAGACATCAGCCCACTTCCCAAACCAGACTCTCTCTCTGACGACCAGGATGAAACTTTAACAGAAGTAAGAAAATGATGATCTGGCCGCACAAGGCATCAACCATTTAAAGGATTAACCTTTAAAAGAATACCAATGAAATTGGTAGATTTTCACTTAAGCTGGTCAGGATTTCTCACTTCTTATATTTCAGGTTTATTTCATGGAAGGAGAAGATCTGGACACTACAACGGATCACGATACTTCCGAACTATCAGCCGAACAGAAACGAAAACAATGGCTGAAGAAGTCCAAGACAATATCGACCCTGGTGTACAAGAGTAAGGACGGTGGAGGAGGCGCTGGAGGAGGCGCCGCCTCAGTTCCGAGCTCTCCTCGACCTTTCTCTCCTTACAAACCCTCCCACTTCAGCTTCGATAACGGGTATTCCAGCTCAGTACAGCAGAGCAACTCCCTGCTAGTGAAGCAGACCACAAACAGGGATAGTGAGACCCAGGGCAGCACTTTCAACAATGTCACTAGGGTGGTCCACGCTGGTCTTTCCAGTGACCCCTACTTTAACCTTCGTAAAAATCAGGCATTCCTCGCGGACATGCATTCCTGGTCCCTAGCAAACGCGACCTCCTTACCCTTCATGGTGGACAATAGAGACAGAAAGAGGTCCAAGTAGAGACTTCCTCAGACTAAATTTTGGATTGAGATACAGCAAGTGCTCTTCAGTGTTTGTTGAAATGTTGTCTGCTGAAAGAATGTTATTTAAATCGTTGAATTTGGGATACAAGAATTGCGTTTTTAAATTACCAGATGTTGTTTATGATAAATATTTACACGTTTATTTATTAATTATATCATCAAACAACGCTTATTTCTGAATTAATTTGATCTTTGGGAACAATCTCAGTTTTCGGAAATTCCGTTCCGCAAGGATAAAAAGTTCTAAACTAAAGATGGTAAAATTCAAATTCTTGGCGAGTGATTTAACTGGACCGTAGAAAAAAAAAGTATGTTGGTTTTTTTTTCTTCCCCCAAAAGTAAAACTAATTAATTTAACTAATACACGTTTTCTAAATAAATGGACAGTGCACAGTCAACAGTGTGACTCGACTGTGAGCAATGATTCCAGTTTCAAACAGATTTACTTTTTATAAACAATCCTAAAATCGATTTCATCTAAATCCTAATCCCATTCCCCCTTCACAATGCTATTGGACAAATGTTCCCAATCTCAAGTCCCATTTTTGCTGAAGCCCTGTTTCCACCAAAATATTTTCAGAATCAAACCCAATTTACTGTTTGCCCGTTTTAGTGAGTGACAACTATTATCATATTTAATAACCTTTTACAGTATATTCACTTTTTCATGTCATATAATTATCGTCGCGAAACTGATAGCTCACTTTGTGCTACTATGGTATAAAAGACTAAAGTTTGTTTTAAAGACCCGAGGGCCGCCCTTAAGGGCTTTGAAACCGGTTTATTGACAATATAATATATAAATAAACTGAAATCGTAACATTCATGTCAATACTAACTGAAATAATATAATCTGTAGTTAAAATAATAATACTTACTGTCACTTAATTAAGATATATGATGTAATAAAATGAATCTCTTTTATTTCCACACTTATTCTCACACCAAGCTTTAATTCACACACCAAAACTTTAAATTTTATCAGATTACAAATGTCCTAATATATACGTCTCTTATCTTTTAGTTAAAAAGTCAGGGGTGCAACGAAGCCGTCCTATTTATAATCATACTGAATATGCTACGTACGACTAAGCATTGAGAATTAAGCAACAGACCCTTCTAGTTTTACAACTTTCTCAACCTTCAAACTCTTGTCGGTTTTTCCATTTTATTTCTTGAACCACCCTTCGTCATGATCTGTCTTGGTTGGATAAATTTTGCTAATAGCTAAATATAATTATAATGTATCTCACCCGTTCAACGATGACATGACATGGCCTATTTAAGAGATAAAATAAATTATATGTTGTCTCTGGTGTAGCTGAATCTGGAACAAAGACTCTCATATAGTAATAATAGATCACGTAAAGCGTGGTGTCCTAGCAGGGTCTAATTAACTGTCTTCTTAAAAGATGAATGCAATCTTCTCACACACAATAAAACATTATTTTCAAATATTCTTTTCAGGCAGCTAAAATTAATTATTGAACAAGCAATTTGTGCATCGCTAGGCTGCAACGGGTAATTTCCATTGTTCTTATAAATAAAAATACCAGCGAGCTGTAAGTCACACAAAGACACGACAGAGCCGCTTCTGAGACATGACACTACTACCACATCAACTAATATTTGCTCACGCCTATCGGTAAATTCATTTGTAGTCATGCATTTGCTAGTCTTTTTTTCTAACAGAAAAACTGTTTGTATGGCGATGGCAGCAATCGACAGACAGAATTCTCTGCGGCAACAACAACAGGAGCAATTACACTTACAGGATAGACCATGAAGACATAACAACCAAAATAGTATAGGACAGTGGGCCCCTTTTAACTCCTATGACCGGTGACCCTGAAAAGCTTTTACAGTAAAAGCGATTCACCGCGGAGTTTGGAGGAAAAGAAACATCCGCGGTACATCGGGGTTTTGTTTGGTTTACATTATGTATGTTTAGCCCTATTTGGGGGAAAGAAAATGGCCGCGGTAAATCGGGGTTTGCGGTAAATTGGGGCGCGGTATATACTATTACTATATCTAATCGGGGTTTTACTGTACTACTCAGTCTACAGTTTGCATATCCGCACACTGTCGAAAATCTAAGACGACACAAAGCCTGAAAAAGCCGGTGCTTTTTAAAAGATATGCTTAGAAAACCTTAAAGATGGAATGATATCTCAAATGGACTCCAAAATGACGGAGTCTTGGAGCCAACTCCCATCAATCATTTGGGAAACTCATCGGACCATGCAACGCCCAACGTCCCTCCAAGGTCCAATGCAAATGCCATAATTGATGCCGCCAACTGTCCATACCCCAATGCAAAAGCTATCCCAAACCAACCGCATCATATGCCAACTATCCTGCATCCTGTTTTAAAATACTAGGTCTATTTCCTCAGCCGCCACTATTCGTCTGTTTTTCTAGACAAACTTTCCAGATCATCTTAACAAGAAATCCAAGCTAAACGAAGTTACACTATTCCGCATCGGCGGGTTTACAGCTAAATTAAGACTAAAATTACTCTTAATAAGCAATCAGATTATAAAAACATCCATCATTAGAGTTAAAACAACAGGTCGATCAGGGCTAATAACTTATTATAATCTATCACAAATGTCATTTGTACCAGTTTACCTACCCGTTCAACAATCACATGGCCTATTTAAGAGATAAAACAAATTAGACTATAGTTCGGTGGTTGTTCCCAGTTGCTTATTTGTTTGATCTGTTGTCATGTCATGACAAAGGCCTATGTGATTTGGAATATAACGTAAATAAAAGTGAAGATCTCGTCATCTCAAACTTCACATCAAACATTTTTTGCTGCTCCTCAGACACCGACGTCATGCGGTTCTTCGAAGAACTACCGTTCTTTGAAACACCTATCCTTGAAACCGAGGACCACGTCATGAATAAATGCCCCAGCTACAACTCCCTCCGCTTTAACCTCTCAGACAACCTTAAAAGCCTCATAATGCTCAAAGAATATGGGGCCATCATGAACTCACTCCATGCAACAGAATTTGGAACGTACCTCACAGAATCCTTTCTCCTTCGACATCCTCCTGAAAAGAAGTCCTAGTAATCACCTCTCATCTCCTACTCATCGTCATTAACTCATCTCCATGACTTTTTTACTCGTATTTAAATTATTATATTCGATCTTTTTTTTTCGTGAAACTGAAATTGTAACGCGGCTAATTTTTAAATTTTTAAAATTTTTTAAAATAGCATTCTCTCGATTTTTAGAGTTCTGATCGTCTTTATGAATTTCTGTATTACCAAGACGAGTTCGTTAGTGTTCTCCTTGGTCATTTCATGTTTAATTCCTGTTTAATTCATCAGAAAATCATGTGTCAAAAGAAAGTAAAGTCTCCTGGATCAGATATTTCGTACGATGTTTGTGTTGTGGGTGCGGGAGTGTTTGGCTCGTGTACTGCATACCAACTCTCTAAATTCCCGGACTTGGATATCTGTCTGGTGGGACCTGGTTAGTAAATGTATACATTTCATTTTCATATTATATATATGATAATTGATTGCGGCTGCCTCATTCAGATTTTTATTTTAAATTTTATTCCTAATTTTTTTTAAATAACAGAAAACAAATTCTAGAGTATTAATACACTTACCCCTCCAATAACCTTTTGGATTGTTTTAAAAAATTGAAAAAATCTCAACAATATACAGAACTGAAATCATCTGATGTAAAATTGCAGGAGAACCAGAAAAGAAGAGCAGGAAGGAAGCAGTGTTCGGATGCCACTACGACGAAGGCAGGATAACACGAGTCGTATCAGATGTTCAAACGGACCAGTTGCTAGCGTACCGCAGCACTCTCAAGTTCAACCAGTTGGAGAGAGAGTCTGGGCTCAAGATCTTCTCCGAAGTAGGATACGGTATTGTGGGTGTTCTAATCGGAGCGTTCGCTATCGAGGTGAAATATGGTGACGAATTTTGTGACAAGAATGGCATTGATTACGAGATTTTGGATGAAAAGTGTGCCAGCGAAAAATGGAGTTATTTTGTTCCCCCGAAAAACTTTACAGGAAGGTTGGTTGGGAAGCTGAGTGGATATCTGAGTATAAGGAACCTTGTAAGAGCTGCTCAAGTAGTTGCTAGTAATAATGGGGTTCACTACAAAGACATCGTAGCAACTAGTATTCACAAGATAGGTGACATGTTCCAGATAAAACTTGCTGATGACACGATAATCAACAGTAAAAAGATTGTCCTCGCATGTGGCTCCTTCACAAACTTTTTCGATTTCCCCCTTCAAAAACCTCTCCAACTGGAGTTGATTGGCCACTCTGTCATGAAGTTTGAAGTAAGTGAACAGGATTACCAACTGACTAAAGATTTCCCGTCAATGAACTATCGATACGATCCAAAGAACGGAGATGTCTATCTCTACATCCTACCTCCAATCCAATACCCAAACGGTAAATATTACATAAAACTAGGACACACTGTGAACTACCCTGCGGAGGGGTTCGAACAGAGTTTGGGGACGCTGGAGGAGGTTAAAGATTGGTACTGTATGGAGGATTATACTCCCGCTAGGGATCACTTCACTAAACATTTCAAACAGATGTTCCCCTCAATAGTTCCCGTCTCAGTGCAGCTAGACCACTGTGTCATATCACTCACTAAAACGGGTAAACAGTATATTGGGTTTGATTCTGAAAATGTTCTGGTGGCGGCTGGCGGCAATGGGGCTTCGGCAAAAATGGGACTTGAAATTGGGAAAATTTGTGCCAATAGCATTGTGAAGGGGGAGTGGGATTACGATTTAGATGAAATCGATTTTAGAATTGTTTACAAAAAGTAAATTTGTTTGAAAGTGGAATTGTCTAATTATCTCTGTCCATTTATTTTAATTTAGAATAGTGTATTAGCTGAACTGTTTGATAATTAATTTAGGAAACAATCCAACATATTTTTTCTACGGTCAAAAATCCAACTAAATCACTCGCCTATAAAAATTGAAAATCTTTTCATAGTAATTGCATGAAAATAACACGGTCAAAAAGTGATTTCTATGTACTATAATGACGGGAAACCAGAACGTAGTTCGTGCAAAAATTACACCTACAAAATATGGTCCCTGACAAAACATTTCATACAATCAACACATATAAATGTAAGATATATAGTAATAGA